AGTGGCAAACTACCTCTGCTACCAGAGAAGCTCTGGATCTGTATTTATATCAAACGGAGCAGCAGGCTGTGAGCTGTGGAAGGAAATATGCACAGACAGGCCAAAGCTGGGAAACCACTCTTAAGGATTCAACAGCACCACATACAGAACATTTTTTTTCTATATATATATTTTTTTTTTCCCTGCAGCTTTGCTTTCAGAGAGATCTGAGGAGAACTGTTCTGTTTCAGACCTGGCCACAGAACCCTCTTGCCTTTGGCAGATTTTCAGACACGTTTATATTGTAATAAACTAATTAATCTAATTTATCTCTACATTATGGGTGCAATTATTGCTATTTTCTGAGCTATCATACATGCATGTGTAGCTCTAGAAAGTTTACAGATCACATCCAACTGTGTTTTCTCCTAAGAAGGAGATAAATGAAAGCCAAGGCTGTGCTATCAGTGGCTAAATACCTTGACCTCCAAACTTATAAACTCTTCCACATGGAGGAACTTGTTATGGTTTGTGGCTCAGGCTTCCGAACTGACATTTGCCTTCTGAAGCTGAAATTAAAGGAGCTCCTTGCAGGCTTTCTGTGGAGTTTACACAACTGTAGCAATTTCTGATTTATTCTTTCCTGCCTCCCCTAAAGTCTGTATCTTTATGGATGCCAGAAAACAGCTGGCCCAAGAGGTCAAGGTTTTGGGCCAGGTTTTACTTGGCAGAGGCTGAAGCTGCTCTAAGTCCCCAGGTGGGAATGAGTTGCTCTGTGACCCAAACCAGGATCTTACCCCTGATAGAGGACAGCGGCTCTGCTGCTGCCTCACCCCTTCAATCTGACATCAAATTGCCCAAACTCATCCTGGTTTGTTGCCAGAGCAAGGCACAGCCCTGCAGAGGTGCTGCTCTCACAGACTGGAACTCTGCAGTGGCCAAATTGTTCCCACGTGCCCCAAGGCAGCAGCACCGACGTTAAAGGCAGGGTTATGAAATGATTTGAGATCCTCTGAAAGCAGATGTAGCTCGTCAAGCAGGGATAATTCAGGGTTTGTGACGTTCCCAGGCTGCTTGCTGTGGGAAGAGTCAGATTTCCTTTCCTGTGGAGTAAAGCAAGTTGGACAATTTGTTCCTGTTTCTGGCTGTGAAAGGGCAGTCTGCATGAACTGTGGGGATCACTAAACAATAAAATCCCTAAATATTCATTTCTATTCCTTGTGCCTGAAGCCAGTCTTATCCTGACATTTTATAGTCAGTATTCTTATTATTCTGAATGGTTTCTTACCTTTTCTGTGTGGGGAATTTGACCAACAGTCGTATTCCTCAGGAATGAAATGGGTTTTGCCTGGCGTGGGCTGCAGAACTTCCCACCCCGAGGTCCCCGTGTGATCCAAGCCTGCTGAAAGAGCACATTGTCTGCACACAATTTGCACCAAAATTCACAGAATAATTCTAACAATACCAGAGCCCTGACAGATTTATAGGCCTATCACTGATATGGCTGCAGGCTCTGGAAATTGATTTATATGATTCAGCAACAGCTAAAGGTTGGGGAGGTTTTCCCTCGCTGGGAATCGTGCTCTGTGCTGGAGGCTGCCTCCAGGACTCCAGAAATCCCATCTCTGGGGAATCTGCTCCTTCCAGGCATTTCATGTGGTTATTTTTGGCTGTGCCTGTGGAGATTTCTGGTCTCCCAGCACAGCTATTTTTATAACACATGGCTGTGAAGTCCATAGCATTGGACATCATTTGATTTTGCACACTGGAGTGCCTCAGGACCCTACGTACGGAATCTCTGCCTCCTGCACCTGCTCCTTCTTTGGCCTGTGCCTGAAACACTCCTTCACTGTATGGAGTGAAGCTTCAGAGCCTTCTACACAACAGCTCCTTTATGGAGCGTGCTAAGCTGCCATAAATATTTAATTAGGTGTTACTATGGGTTTGAAGAGATACAGGAAAAAAATAATCCTCATTTCCTTACATTTAAACAGAACCTTTTCCTGCTGGAAAAATTTCCCTTCATTAAGCACTGACAGGGAACCGTATTTTAAGAGGGGGCATAAAAATCTGAGAGGGTAAGAGGCTGGTGAAGAGGAGATCTCAGGGAGCTGAGGGTTTTTCCTCGGTGGGAAGGAGCTGCTGGATGGCAGGTTTGAGATGGAGCTGTGTGGGTGTCTTTGAGGCAGCACAGCTCCATGTCAGGCTGGTGGGTGAAGCTTCTTTCCAACCAGGGCAGCTTCTGCTTCCCGAAAATAAATCATGGCCTCAGGGGCATTTTGTAATGAATCAGCAAAGCAGACTGGCCTGGGCACCCAGGGGGTGGCACTGCCTGGATTCCTTCCTGTGCCCCAAACTTCTGGATAAAACAACGACCTGGCCTGGGATTACAGCTGATGAACTCATCAGAGAAAGGTGAGAGAGAAGAAGGAAGAGGCAGAAGTGTGACTGTGTTGCCTAATTAAAAAAATCAATCAACTGACAGACCTGCAGCTAAGATTTCACCCTCGTTTTCCATCCAGGTGGCAGAGGGGAAGCTTAAATATCACTCAGAATGTCTCATAATTACATTGGCTTTGTCTCTCAAAGCCAGAGAGAACTAATTTAGAGTGGAAATTAAAAATGACATATGTACAGTTTGGTCAAAATAATGATGATGGGGAATTAGGGAGCAATTTGTGAGTATATTAAGGGAGAGAAATTATTTAGAGCAGAGTAAGGATTATATGTAATCAGATTAAATTACCTGTAGAAAAACAAAACAGGAAGTTTTAATTTTAATTTTCAAAGTGCAGGAAGCAGACCTGACACTGAGCTCTGCTGGGCTGCACAACAGCTCAGCACAGACCTCTTTAAGGGGAACATTTGGGAATTGTTCCCACACTGTGGGAAAAGAGCAGGTAAAGTTGTTCCAAATGTGTGCTGAGTGAGTATTTTGAGAAGTGTCTGGCTTACCTATGTACTGCTTGTGTGGCAGATGCATTTGTTGATTAAAATAATTATTATACCTATGGAAAATGAGCTGGCTGCTTCATTAGCCAAAAAAACGTAACACACAGACCAAACCCACCATGGGAAATGCTGTGTGCACTCCCAGTCCCTCAAATTTCCTCTGCAAACATCTCCATTCCCTCCTTCACTCAGTTACTGCCCCTGAAAAGTCAAACCACGAGCTTGGCAAGGTCCCCAAGCCTGACTTTACCTCCAAATCTCAGCCTTCCTATGTCAGTGATGGTGTTCCCAGGCACGAGCACACCTGCAGTTTAGCTAACATATGAAATGAGGAATTACCTAACGTGGATTTAGACTCTTGGATATAAATAACCTTCTCTCATGTTTGCTGAAGGAGATTGCACAGCACCCACTGGGCAGGGCAGACCTTGGCTGAGATGAACACCGGGTCAGGGCACTTCTGTATCACACTGAGCCAGCCTGGAGCACCTGCAGCCCTGCCCTCCGAGTTTATCCCAGCCTGGAATCCAGGCTCAAGGCCCAAACACTCCCAGATTTTCTCACTACAGACCCGGGTTTGACTGCCCAGCACCTTCCAGCTGCCAGTGAAGCAACTCCTTGGCCAATGCCTCAAACCAGCAGCGTCTCACAGAGTTAATTAAACACTTTATTAATCAACCAAGCACTTCTATGACCTCTGGGCACCACCCACCTGGATAAGACTCTTGTCTCACACAAAAGAACCTCTGTAGTCCTGAGTTTCTATTAACTGCAGGGGCCTCGGGCAGTGTTTGTTGAGTGGAGCTAAAGTTCACGGAAATCCATCCATGTTGAGTGGGAATGCAGTATCCCAACAGCTTCAGAACCCTGGGGATCCCACGGGCCAAGGAAATAAATCAATATATTCACCTTGGGAACCTGAACCCTGCATGTGCAGGTGCACATGGGTATTTTACCTGCAAGAGAAATCAAAGCCTGTGCAGGAGCACGTCCGTGACTGTTGAATACACACAATTCCTTCCATAATTTATATGATTTTTAGGGATAGTGACCTGCTGTAATAATAAATTTATGCCAGCGGTAAAAAAAAATCCAAACACATCACAAGACTACGAGAATTAATTGGTTTCATGGAGTGCAGTTTTCTTTAGTGCTTAACAGGCCACACTCAGAGGAAGGAGCAGCAGCTTGTCCTGGGGAACTTTTCAGCTTTTGAGTGCTCAAAATTGGGGTAATTCACCCCAAAGACCAGATCTGGGTATTTCTAAAAGTCAGTTATGCAATTAATCCTGTAAAATATCTTACGTGAATAATTTTAGGTATAAGCGTATCTCTAAGTAATATGCGTCCTTTATGTATAGACCGGAGGGGGCAGTTTAAAGAGCATTTTCCCACATTCCATCTTTTTTTGAGCATGACAATCCCTATACCAGCAGTTTTGCAGCCTTAACAGCCTCGGTGATAACTCTCATTCACTGTCCTGTGCAGAGGTGTGCTGGTGGAGCCTTTAGGCCGGGATGCGATGGGAATTCCCGGTGGAATGCCCGATTTTTATGGAAAAAGCGCGGGAAAGCTCCGACGGGGCCGCTCTCGAGCACTGCGGGCCGGGCCCTCACGGCGGGGAAGGGGGGGCGGGGCGGCGGACGGAATCGCAGCCTCTGATTGGTGGAGTCCCGAAGAGGGCGTGGTCACAGTGGGACCAATCCACCTCCCGCCGGCGGGGGGGTAGAGGGCTCTCCCCGCGCAAATGGTACAGCCCGAACCCGAGCCCTTTGGCCGGGCCGTTACCAGCGCCCGCGCGCGCCCATGAAGGACCCAGGGAGGGCTGTCCGCCGCGCTGCCTGATGCGGCGGCGGCCTTGCGGAGCCCGCGGCGGCGTTGCGCCGGCTCCCAGCCGCCGTTGGTTTGTCCGCTGGCTCCCGGCAGACGCTCCGCCGCCGCTCGGCATGGCTTTCGGCCGCCGGCCTCCTCCGGCGGCGCGTTCGGTTTTCCGGCGTTCTCGCGGGGCGGCCGCCGGCGGGGCGGGGGGGTTGCGGCGCGAGGCGGGGCGCGCGCGGGGCGGGGGGGTCCTCGTCGGCGCGCGGAAAAAAACGCGCCAAGTTCGCTGACGGTGTCCCCGCGGTCTCCATGGCAACGGCGAGCGGGAGCGGGGCCGGGATGTAGTGGTGAGTGAGGGGGAGCGGCCGCACCGCGGCCTCGGGCCCCGCCGGCCTCGGGGAACATGCGGGGGGCGCGGGGGGGCGGCCCGAGCCCGGGGCGGGGGGCGGCGGGTCCGCGCTCGGCCCCCTCGGGGAGTAAATGGCGCCTGGTGTGCGCGTGTGTGTGTGTGTGCGCGCCAGGTGTGAGCGCCCCGGCCGCGCCCCGCAGGAACCATGCCCGGCGTCCTGCCCGGCGACAGCGCCAGGGCCAGCCCCTCCAAGAAGAACAGGCTGTCGCTGAAGCTCTTTCAGAAGAAGGAGGCGAAGCGAGCGCTGGATTTCACCGAGGCGCAGGAAAATGAGCAGCAGAAGGGCGCGGAGTTCCGAGGCGCCGAGATGTGAGTGCCGCGCGGGAGAAGTTTTTGTGGCGATGTTGTGTCTGTCTCGTGCTGCTCCATCCTCCTCTCCTTTCGCTTTCGTGTTCTCGCATAAATAACGTGCTGCAGCACGCGCTAAATTAAATTAACGTGCGCTTCGATTAAATTAACATGCACTTACGTTAAATTAAACCGTTGAGGCAGCTCCATCAAACTGAACGAACTAATTACTATAACTAATTTCTGTTTTGAGAAAACAGCTTTGCCCCACCGGGGATGCTTAGTTTAGGCGCAGACTTTGGGATCACTTGCTAAAGTTAGTTTTAAAAACCGAATTAATCACTGTAACCAGCTTTTAATAACTTTTAGGAAAACAACTCTGCTTCTATGGCGGTGTTTAGTTGGTACAAACTTTAGGATCAGTTGAAAAAGTTGCTTTGCTTCAAGTTAATATAAATAGTTAATGTGTCACTGAACTATTTATGTAATTATTTATATAAAAACCTAATTTTCTGCAAGGTGAGCTGTAATGAATATGTGTAGGATCTTTAATTGTGGGGTTGGCTGTCACTCATTGGGGCTTTTCAGGCCCTGAGCAAATCTATCCACTCGTTTCACTGCTGGTGAGGAGATTTAAGTGGGAAAAAGAAAACTGTGGACAGTTAGAAATAGTTGGAGACTTTAAAATTTGGTTCTGTCGTGTCATTACAGTGTATTAATCACTTCTATCAGTGATTAATAATAATGATAATCAGTGTATAGCTTGTCAGTTTTATTGGTTTCTTTTTTTAGATTTTTTTCTGGTTTTATGCTTTTGCTTTGCATCCAGAAATGAAGTGATGTGACTGGAGCAGGGGACAATGTATAAATACGTTCTAGGCACATTTTTTTCTGCCTTATGAATGAACAAAGAATATACAAAAGTATTTAAATAGGAAATTTTTGATCCATTAAATCAATCTCCTGGTATTTGATGTGTTGGAACTTAGAGCACGTTTTCCTCCTGTGTGCTTTTGGGTGGGTTGCTGAGGAGTCAAGAGTGAATTCAGACACACTTTGCCACAATTTTGATCTGCATTTCTCAGTGCTGAATTCTCTGAGGAGGGGAGAGATGAAGGAGTGTTTTTTCCAAAGTGTCTCTTACCCCAATTCTCTGTTTCCCAGTGACCAGGTGGTTCCTGCAGCACAGCCCCCCTCCCTTGTCAGCTGTGAGAAAAAAGACAGCATGTTGCCTTTCGTGGGCTTGAACAACCTGGGCAATACCTGCTACCTGAACAGTGTCCTGCAGGTGAGGCCACGTCCAGGGGGGCTCCAAAAGGGAGATTTTGGTTAAGCACAAATGGGTGAAATCAGTTTATTCTGGGTGCAGTATAGAGGGCATCTTATTATAACGGGGAAATAAAGATGCTGCTGCAGGAAATGTGTGCCCTGTGGTTGTCCTGATTGGGAAATTCTTCAGTTTCCATACTCGGGGCTCCTCCCTGCTGTGAAAAATCCTGGATCTTTGTGTGCCTGGGGACATGCAGAGCTGTATGGATTATAAATGTGCATTTATGTGTGGAATAACTTCTTACTCCAGTTATTCTCGTGTTTTCAACTGTTGCTTTCAGGTATTATATTTTTGTCCTGGTTTTAAAACTGGAGTAAAACATTTATATAACATTATTTCAAAGAAGAGAGAATCTTCAAAGGATGAAGGAGAGCAAAAGACAGAAAAGGTAACAAATCCCCCCATGTTCGTTATTTGTAACCTTGCAAGCGAGGCTATCCTGAATGTGGTGAAAATTCAACTGATTTTCGTTCTTAAGAACATTTCAGCATTGTTTTCTACGCTGTTACTTCAGGTGAAGATGTATTTGAGTTGTTTTGAACTTTAGCACAAGTTTTAAAACCTAACAGAAGAAATTTGAGGAAGGTACCTGACCATGCGTCTGGCACAAAGATAATTATGATACAATACCTGGTAGAGTTCCTGATGAAAATGGGAGTTTGGGCAAGGATGGTTTGGGATTTTAAACTAATGGCTAAATGGGTTTTTATGTTTGTTTCCTACTTGAAAAAAACCAAAATACTGTCTGAAACCCACCTGCCTCCCATAGCAGATAAAAAGATCAGCCAAATACAGAAAACCAAGGGAGGGGAGGAGTGGAAAATGTTAATTTGTGACCGATGTAAGTGTTGCAAATGTTTTTAATCCTTTCACATTGTTTTTGCAGGGAAGCTGTAAAGAAGATCCCTTGGCAAGTTATGAACTCATCTGCAGTTTGCACTCCTTGATCCTTTCAGTTGAGCAGCTTCAAGCCAGTTTTCTCCTAAACCCAGAGAAATACACAGATGAATTGGCCACTCAGCCCCGAAGGCTGCTGAACACCCTCAGGTACAAATCCCCTTGAATGCTGACGGAATTTTGTTCTGATATTTCCAGGCCGTAACACTGCCCAGCTTTAGAGGCTGGTGGGAGATGGGTGGTCAATTTGGGGTGGCCTTATAGGAAGTAAGATTTTTTTTTTGTGCTTATTGTTGGTAATTTGTGTTGGAAATTTGAAAAGAAATTTGAATTTTCTAAGACTGAAATACAGAAGGGGTTTAAAACAGTGCTTAGGAACAGAAGTGTTACTGAGTTACAGAGTGGTTTGAGTTGGAAGGGACCTTAAAGCTTATCCAGTTCCACCCTCTGCCATGGGCAGGGACACTTTCCACAATTCCAGGTTGCTCCAAGCCCTGTCCAGGACATTTTCAGGGATGGGAAGGATCCCCTTGGAGCTGAGGAGCTCCACTGTTGGATGTGTGTAAATCCTTAAAGGCTGAACCTTCCCCCAGCTTTGTGACACAGAGGATTCCTCTCTGTGCCTGAAGGCGAATCCTCCATGACTTGTAAATCCCTGATTTCAGTCTCAGAGCACATTCCCCAGTTAGCAAAGGACACCTAACCCTCATGTTTTGCTCCTTTCTTTGCCCAGAGAGCTGAACCCCATGTACGAAGGGTACCTGCAGCACGATGCCCAGGAGGTCCTGCAGTGTATCCTGGGGAACATCCAGGAAACCTGCCAGCTGCTGAAAAAGGAGGAGCTGAACAAACTGCCTGTGGAAGAGCCTGCAGCTAAACTGGAGGAAAAACCCAACCAAAAGTCAGAGAGCAACGGATCCATCAGCCCCGCTGAGGAGGAGGATCCCACCCTGGGCAACCATGGCGGAGACGCGGCCAAGGAGAAGCTGCTCAAGGGAAACGGGAAAAGGAAAAGCGACGCCGAGGGCGGCAACGCCAAGAAGAAATCCAAAGTATCTAAAGAGCAAATTACAGCAGAAGAAAATCAAAGACAAACCAGGTCCAAGAGGAAAGCCACGGGAGAAAAGATGGAAAACCAAACGGATGCCATTGCCAAGTGTTCCGGGGAGAGCGAAAGCGCCAAGCCCACGCAGAAAAAGTCGCGCCTTAGGTTAAACTGGTTAAAATCTTCCTGCAAACAGCCCAGTATTCTGTCCAAATTTTACAGTCTAGGAAAGTTAACTACAAACTTGGGACCCAAAGAGCCAGGGAAAGAATATGACTGTGAGTTTGAAGAGTCAGCTGTCAAGTGCGAAAATGGTGACAGTAAAGAAGAATATCATGAACCAGCGTCTCCCGTGGAAAGCCATCATGGAAAAGGAACTGAAAAAGAACCAAAAAAGGAAGGTTGGTGCACAAGTGGATGGGCTTAAAATTAGTAGGATTAAGAAAGTACAATGCGTGGGAAGTTAGCCTTCAGACTGCACAGCCTGCAGAGCTCTAAACACAAAATTAGATTTTTCAGGAATTGAAGATTGATTTTTTAGGAAAGAGAATTTATTTTTATACGTGTTTGTAATTTTTTTTTCTTTTAGAACTTGACCTGTTTAGCTTAGATCTCGAGTCATTTCTCTTATGTTCTGTAATCATTGTACAATATGTATAAAAAAGGCAGAATATTACCAGGTTTGTATTTGCCACTAATTTTTGTCATCCATAGAAAGAGCAAGTGGATTCAAGATGTAAAGGGATATTTCTGGCAGGAGCAAACAGAACCAATCCCCACTACCTATGGTTTTACAAACATAAAACCCTCTTTTTCCCTTCCAGTTCCTTAATCTTTCCATATTCCCAACCTTCCCAAGAACCAGGAAGGACTTGGGATGTATTAAAGAGCTAATCTGTTTAGATCTAATAGATACCAATTAGAAACACTAATGAGCCAGCAGGTCTGGATGGTTTTTTATGTCAATGAAACAAGATACATGTTGAGGGAAGTGCCTCAGTATGAATCCAGTACTTACTAATTTGGAACTTTCCACCCACCAGTTTTTCATTAAAAACTGAAGGAATGACGAGTCTTTTGAGTTCTGAATTTCTTCTACAGATTTGGCCAAAACTGACCAATAAATTTAGGAAAGAGGAGAGGACTGAGCATAAATAGGAACCAGAGAAACACAGTGTGGTGCTCCTTGAGGAGGTCAACAGTCCATTGTTGGGCCAACAGTAAGAGCAGTGATGGCAACCAAATATTCCAGAATGTGACACTGTCACACTTCCAAGTATAAAACAAGAACCCAATCTTAGAATAGAAATCAAAGTTTGAGGATGATACCATGAAAGCTGCAGGTGATTTGTTTTGCTTTTTAATTCCTATCAGATATCCCTAAAAGGCCATGGCTGTAACTGTGATTTTGCAAGGATAACTGGGTTCTGAAGGGTGTCTGGAATGAAATGCACCTTACTCAGGGATGTGCCATGTACTCTCTCCAGGTACAGAGCTGGCTGTCTTCGAGCTGGTGGAGAAACTCTTCCAGGGCCAGTTAGTGCTGAGGACGAGGTGCTTGGAGTGCGAGTGCTTCACGGAAAGGAGGGAAGATTTTCAGGACATCAGTGTCCCAGTGCAAGAAGATGAACTTGCTAAAAGTGAAGAGAGTTCTGAAAGTAAGTAATCATCTCAATAAAAGGGTTGTGAGGTGTGTTCCTGCCTCAGCCAGCCGTGGGGAAGGACACTGCTGCAGTTAGGAAGGAACGCGGCTCCTGTTTGTGCTGGCTAAAATTAGAGGCTGTTATCTCCTGTCCTGATCAACTTTAGACTTTGGAAAGATGGTGCTGATAATGCTGACAGGTCCAGATAGTATTCAGATTACTCCAGATCTTAACACACAGCATGGACTGCCTACAATCTGTCACTTAGGCACCTCTTTTCCTGCTTGTGAAGAGGTATTTCCTTTGATTTGAGTCTTCTTTTTTCTTCCTGGATAAGAAATCTTGCTTTTTTTCTTCTTTTTATAAGAAATATTTACTTTGTTTTTCCTTAGAAATAAAAGAAACAAGATTGCAGCTTTTTTTCCTTAGTTACTCTAAAAAAAAGTATTTTAGATTGTTGTTACCATAATGGCTTTCATATTATGTTTGTAAATGTTAGTCATGTGGTCTCTTTCACAAATTTTATTGATCTATATGCAGATTTTTAGCTATTTTCATAAGGAAGTGGGGCAAAAACACATCTTGAAATTCAGAATTTCAAGGGAATTAATTTTAGTTGCCATGGACTTATTTTGGAGCAGCTTTTCCTACTTTTGCTCCCTATTTTGCTGAGGGATTCAAAGGAAAATGTGTGGGGTGATGTTCATGTGTGAAGTGCTGCCGACAGCGGGTGATCCTGTCAGCAGTGTGAGGGTGGCAGGGGAGGCAAAATGCAAGAAGTGAGAGGGAACTTTCTGGTTATTTTGGGGGTTTGCCTTAATAAGTGAAATTCTGACCTCATACAAGCTCTCCATTTCCAGACATGGCAACAAAATTGTGTGATCTGAAATGAGCTTTGGAAAAATCCTAATTTGGAGTAACGATATCCATTAAGTGATGTTTTCATCCCTTCCTGCAATGCTCCAGAGATTGGAACACATCACATATTTCACACATACTGAATGTTCTTTGCAGTGTTGCAGGTTTGGAGTGGTCTGAACTTGACATATTTTGTTTCGTTGCTCTTCTGGCGGGATGCGTTGGAAATGTAAATATTGGCATATCTGTGAATGCAGCAATTCTCTTTTCTAGTTTCTCCAGAGCCAAAAACAGAAATGAAGACTCTGAAATGGGCAATTTCCCAGTTTGCCTCAGTGGAGAGGATTGTGGGAGAGGACAAATATTTCTGTGAGAACTGCCACCACTACACGGAAGCCGAGCGCAGCCTTTTGTTCGATAAAATGCCCGAAGTGATCACAATTCACTTGAAGTGCTTTGCTGCCAGTGGCTTAGAGTGAGTATGCATTGCCTGTCTTACCAAACAGCAAGGGAAATCTTACCCCAAGAGCTGGAAATGCTTTGGAATTTTTCCAAAAGATTTCCAGATTGGAATGAAATCGCTGGGATGCTGCCCCCACCATGCCATAAAGGCTTTGTGTTGTTCCAGGTAGTGGCAGAAATTACCTGCAGAAAAATTGACTTTTAGGAGACTACTTAAAAAATTTTTAGCTCTACTCTTAGAACAACCTGATATTTCTTAAGACTTTATGTACTTTTAATAGCCCCTTATTTAAGGAGATATTTAAGTAAATAAACTCTTGAGTTCAGAGGCAGCTTTAAGTGCTTTACCAGAACAAGTAATGAGAACAAATCTCCATTTTATGGTCTCAGGTTGTCTCTGCCTGAATGTTGTGAGTACTAAAAAGATGAACGTGAGTGAGGGAAAAAAAAAAAAAATCAGCTGATACACACCTTAAAGAGCTAACACTCATTACCTCAAAATTGACAAATTCCTTCAAAAATACTTTGGTCTCTACCTGAATGTGAACACTACAATTTTGGGGGGCAAAAGAATCAGATAAACATTCTGAAGAGCTAATACACCAAAAAAAAACAAACCAAAAAACTATTACTTTAAAAACACAGTAGTATCAGCATCATTGATATTCTATTGCTGAATAATCAGTTTGGTATTATAATCGTAGCAGTCCTTATATTTTGAAAGAATTTGTGGGAGTGTTATCTTTGTTTTTTTCAATACTTAAGAATTTAGGGATTTTCTTTGGGATGAGAGGAAACAAAGAAAAATCTGTCCCTACAGCCCTGTACAGGAATATCCAGGTTTCTGACAAAGCAGAAGGGAAATTTCCTCTGTCTCTGCAATGTCCAGGACCATAACATACAAAACTGTCTTTTCACTGATCTCCACAATATTTACTTAAATACTGATTTGTATATACTGACTTACAGCTGCACACTTAAAAATCATCACAGTTGAGTAGCAAACATGAGAATTATCTTCCATTTGCTCCTGTATTTCCTATTTTCTTGTTTCCATGAGGAAGGACCTGCAGTTAATCAACTCTCTCCTGCCTCACCCTTTTTTGTCCTGGCCAGCTTCAGGTCCTTGCTCCAAAACACTCAGACCAATTTTCAGGTCAGAGTGAATCCAATCTCTTGTAGTTTTCCTTGTGTATCCTCTCAGTCATTCCATAAATTTTCTGCCAAGGGCTACCAGTCAGAGGTTAAGGAAGTCAGAGTGGAAAACCTGACATGGAAACCCATGATGAAGCTGAAACTCTTTAGAAGTTTTTTGATTTTTGGGCTGGATGTTTTATTTTGGACAAAACCCTGTCATTGCTAAAGGCAGTGACTTCTACTGCCTTGAAACTTAAATTTTTTTAAGATCAAAATCTTCAACTTCTAGCTCCCACAACAGTTTGGGAATCTGGTCTGCTCAGTTGTGTTCTACTGAGTTCTCTGGTGACTGAGTTGTAAATAAATGAGAAATGAAGGGTACTGTAAAGTAAGTATTTGCAGTTAATACGGATTTTCTTAATCTTTTCTAGATGCTGCTTTGAAAAGTGTTTTTGTTTTAAAATAAAGCAGCCAGTGTGAAAATCTCCTTGCCTGGGGAGGAGTAATTATCTTTGGCAAGTGTGTGTGTGGGGAAAAATGCCAGGCCATGTGTGAGCAGGCTGTGAAGCTGTCTAGAAGGAATTTGTTAACTGGTAATATGTAATTGAGCAATTCCATTATAGAAATTTAACAATCTGTGAGAAAATCAGCTTTTTGTCTTGTGAAATTCAGTGCAGTGGGTATAATGTCACTAATTTATGCTCTCAAAAGATGTGGCAGCAGAAATCAGGTTTGCTGTGTTTGAAGTGCGTCAGTCAGAGCAGGCAGAGTACTTGGCATGCAATTTTTCTGTCTTCAGATTCTTATCATTAAGAAGAACAAAAAGCTAATAGGAAAAGATTTCCTCTCTTATTTCCTCCTCTCCAAATCTTTCTGATGCTGGATGTCATTGAGAAGAAAGGTAGAGCCTGCTTTTTCCTGTTTTCTGTCAATATGATTGTCCCAGTGTGCTTGAGTGGAACTGGATTTGCAATCCAGGCTATCAGCCAGCAGTTCTGTGTTTTTTGACTCTCTTCTGAATATCTCTATTTCTGGCTGCTGACAATAGGGATTTTCAGAAGATTTGTGTTATTTCTGATTCTATGCTCTGTGTTCCTTTTGGTGGAGTGAAATGTGTATGGTAAGAGAGGTCTGAAGTGAGGTTTCACTGAATTGGAGTGACTGAGGATCTGTTTGTGTCACTGTGTTTATTTCTGTGTCTCAAGGTTCATGGCTCTGAACAAGAATGAAGCAGAACCAAAATCAAATCCAGGAAAACAACAATCAGTTACTGCAGTTATGCCATGGCTGCAGTTTCCTTGGATTTAAGAGTTGTTTCTTTTCCTAGGATAAGAGCAGCGAGCTCTTTCCAACCTCAGTTTTACAGGGTTGTCTGTACTCTCCAGTATTTTTCCCTACAACACCCTCGCAGTTGAGTAAGATTGAGTCATCCCTGGAATTTATTAGGACATCACAACCTATTGTTAAATAAAGGGGTTAATTGATCTGGGCTGATGCAATGTGTAAGTCATGAAGAGCAGAATTATTCAAGGAGGCTGATGCACAATAATGAAATCCCAACACTGCCTTTCTCTTCAAACTCTGTAGAAGATCCTTATAATGAAAGGACTTTTCCCATCCTGGTAAATTTGTGTGCTGTGAACAAAATACTGAATGTTTATGGAATACTAGAGGCTTTTCCAAAGTAAATTAGCTATAGAATTGTTTGAAAAATTAGAATACCATAGGACAGCTAGTGAAGAATCCCAGGTGAACACCACTGGCACAGCTGCAGTGCTCTGAGGGGAGCTGAGGAAAATTAGTCACAATCTCTGAGTGATATTAAAGCTACTTGAAAGTAAAATAAGAGTAATGCTTTATTTAGTAAATGACTCCTTCAGGAGGAGAAAAAAACAAACCCAACCCTGCTTGGTTCAGCCTTGGCTGTTGAAGAGGTTTTTGGTTTGTTTTTGAACAGGATGGTGAGAGAGAGAATGGGGTATTAGTGCAGAGATATGAGCAGGAGTGGTAACAATCAGCTGAACTTTTATCATCACTATTTAAAAATCATCTTTAGAAGAAGGGGATCTCTGAGATAGTTAAAATTTACAGTTTCTGAGCTGTAAGATTTAACATTACAGTCATAAAAATGCCTTTCCTAAGGGGTGCTTGGGATGCTGGTGCTGAGCCAGGGGAGCAGGGAGCGGTTCCCATCCTCCATACTTTTTAGGAGGAAGGATATGGATGCACCTCAGGGCCACCTGAAGTGTTTTTTGGGAGGTGCTGTGGCACGAGGTGTAAGCTGTGTGTCCCTTGCCAGGTTTGACTGCTACGGGGGCCTGTCCAAGATCAACACCCCACTGCTGACGCCGCTCAGGCTGTCCCTGGAGGAGTGGAGCACCCGGCCCACCAACGACACCTACGGGCTCTTCGCCGTGGTCATGCACAGCGGCATCACCATCAGCAGCGGCCACTACACAGCCTCAGTGAAGGTCACAGACCTGCAGAGCCTGGAGCTGGACAGGGGCAACTTCCTCCCCGAGCCGGGCTACGCCGCGCTCAAGCCGGAGCCGCTGACCGAGGAGGAGGCGCGGGCCGTGGCCGAGGACTACGACGACGGCGAGGTCTCCTTCAGGCTCAACGGCGCCGCGCCGCCGGGCAAGGTGCTCAGCAAGAAGAACATGGAGGCCGTGGGACTGCTCGGGGGGCAGAAGAGCAAGGCTGACTGTGAGCTGTGTGCCAGCAAACAGCCCAACCCCGAGAAGCTCCTCAGCGTGGCTCCCGAGCCCCGCGGCGCCGAGCCCAGCGCGGAGCAGGGCGAGCCCCCGGGGCTGGGAGCCAACGGACTGGAGAACAAAGCTCTCTACGTGCTCCAGAGCCTCAAGGAGTACGAGGGGAAGTGGCTGCTCTTCGATGATTCCGAAGTGAAGGTCACAGAGGAAAAGGACTTTCTGAATTCTCTTTCTCCAACATCGTCATCTACATCGACTCCTTACCTACTGTTTTATAAGAAGATTGTAGAGTGATGCTGTACTTGGACTGTAAATATTTGGGATTTGCATACACCTCTCACTCTGATTTGCATCCAGGCTACCTGGAAAGAACGGCTGTTTGTTTTTTGAAGCTACTGATTTTTCATCTTTCTGGTCTTTTTTTTTTTTTCCCCTTTGGTGTCAAGTGGCTCAACTTGAATTAACAAAACATGACATAGGACTTGACTCACACCGTAACTTTTCTGCTGGAGAATAGTGCTCTGACCTTTTAGAAATGCCAGTTTGTATAGATTCTAAACAATGCCTACAGCACCCAGTAGTGGTTTTAATGCAGCTCTAGGTCTCAGACATGCCTATTGTATTATTAGCTTTTTTTTCCTTTTATTTTTTCCTTTTATTTGTTTTTCTTTTTTTCCTTTTATTTGTTTTTTTTAAATAAAAGTTATTTGTATTCATACCCTGGAGTAAATGTATATTAACTAGCAAATTTCATCAGAAGTTGTGTATTTTTGTAACTTGGGAAGTAACACTTCATATTTAGTCTTTGGGTAATGGACGTGGTTTATTCTCCTGCTCCAGTTCTTTCCTGCTCCTTGCAACTTGAAGCACAAGGAAAAAGGTCTGGGAACCTTGTCCAGAGCATCAGAGGGAACTGAATTCATGGAGGTGTTTGACTGTTCTAATTTGCATCTTGGTGCATAGGTGTTCATGAGCAAAGTGTAAATAGGTGTGATTAATACTTCAAACCAGGGGCAGAGTGTAGTGTAATTAAAATAATTTTGTACTTTGAAGAGTGAAGCCCTCAAATCTGCATCTCTGTTTGGGGGAGTTGGGAACTTAGTGGTGACCTTTTAACTGAAGTTAACTTGTACCTGGATCTCCCTGAAACCTGGGGGAAAAGGAGAGCATTTGGCTTTGATGCTTTGTTAAGAATGTACATATGAAATAAAAAAGTGATGATGCGTATCTGAGATGAGCAGATCAGCCTGTTGTGTTTGGAGAGGGGAAAGCAGAAAGGGAAAGGGCTTTGGGAGCAGTTACAAAAAGGCTGGGAAATTATCTTAAAGAAACAGAAGATTTAAAGTGCTTTCAGAATACATTCTGTGGTTTTTAGCTGGTTCTTGGACAGTATCTCTTAATTTGAAGGTACTTTTTGACTACAGTTGTGAGGTTAAGAGGAAACATTGCAAAACCAAAAACATTTGCACTACATACTAGAGATGAAAATCCCAAATTGTTTGTCAGAGATTTGAAGGTGACTTCTATAAATTGATAAAATCTTAATAAATATGACTCAAAAAAGGGGGGACTGTTCAGTCTGTCCCAGGATGGATGGAATGACATCAAGTGTCACTGCAGGCTGTGAATATGCCCTGGACAGATTTCACCTTTTTCCACTACAAATTAATTTATTTACAGGAAAACCCCTAAAAACCTCTGCCTAGTTAATTCTGCAGTACTTATTTTTTACTATTTTTTATTAAAGTGTTGTATAAACCCGGAGGTAAGTCAGGAAAAATCTCTTCTAGTGTATTTTCCACGTTAGGTTTGACCTCTGATTGTTGTACAGGCCTTGATTTTGCAGCATAAAAAAATCTGCAATGACAAAATACACTTTCCCTTTTCCAAAGCATTGCACTATAATAATTAATAATTTCAGTGTCTAAACCAAGAAAAAGCTACATTATAAAAATATCAGTAATCTTACCTTGCAAGGGCAGCCCAGTCCCACTACAGAATGCAATTTTTTAGGCTTTGCTGAATTTCAGCCTACAAATGAAAGTTTATTTTTCCACACCTGGTGCAAGACTTTATCCTTTTCATTCAACTGCAGCATCAGGAATGTTCCAAGGAAACAAAATACCATTATTTACACCAAAACAGGATGTAAGGAAGACCCAGCTGCCTTCCATCATCCCAGTACAGCTTGGGAGGAGATTTTTTTGTGGCAGCTGAAGAGAAAACAGCCTCAGCTGGAAGACGCTGAATGAAAACCCCTCTTCTGGCACAGAGAGAGGGACTGGGGATGGATTTTTGGGATATTCACTCCAGCACCACTTGCCACCCCCTGAACTTGCTTGTAACTCCTGTCCTGGGGTAGAACTGCTGTAAATTGAAGTTTCATCCTTTCATGGCTCCTGGGATTTGGTTGCACTGTGTAAATATTTTTAATGCCTCTTCCTGTAAATCTCTTCCAAAGCCGTTCCCTCCTTCCTTAATGTTTTCCATTCTGAGATTCCCTGACTCTCGTAGCACCTCCAAGACCTTGTCAACAGCCCTGGGCTTTGCAAGAGGTCTTGGAATAGCCATAAAAACGTTTGGAGTTTTCTTTCTGCAGGAAACTCCCGTGTTCTGCCCCGTGACACAACTAATTCAGGATTATTCTGTTCCAGGGAATCCTTTAAGAGCCTGGCATACAAAACACCACCACTGTGGAGCTGTTGGGATAACAGAGCATGGGAGAAGTCTCCAATAGCCTCAAATAAGTATCAGGAAGGAAAAAAAAAGACCCTCCCCACCCTAAACCTTCAGTGCTGCTGCAGAAGGGGGGCACTTCATGTATAAATCCATTTTTTCTTCTACTTTTATGTATATATGAAGACTATGTTTATCAAATTCAGGTTCTGGGTGTATATCTGGGTTTTTATGCATATTTAGGTATTTATGGAGAGAAAATAAATGTCTTTAATCACACACCACCTCTTTCAGGGGATTTTGTTCACCACAGAGAAGAAAAATAATGACAAGATTTAGAAGTTGTGGACTCAGCTTCTACTCTGACGTTTCCTCAAAGTGCTGTGTTAGACCTCAAAATACCTGCTGTCAAACACATCTTTCTTCACATAAAGCAATGCAAAGAATGCTCTGTACCCTTTTAAACTCTGATACCATTGGAGGTTCTTTTGCCCTGTGAAATTAGGCTCTAAATTAAAAAATGGACACAAAATCAGTTTAGTTCCATGGACACTGCTAATTCCAAGGGGTGAGGAGATGCTGGGATCTCCCAGCTGGTGGAGAACACACAGAAGCGAGGCTGAAACTTCACCTGATGGACTGAAGGAGGTGAAGAGGAACCCAGCTGTGCCTCCATCTGCTGCTGGCTACAGGTGGAATTTTTTTTGTTTGTTTGCAGCAAAAGAACAGGGATAATAAACAATCAGCACTTGGTTAATTAATGTTACCATGACTTACCTTGCTCTGAACCTTTTCCCCAAGGATGCTGAGCCCTGAAGTCCAATGCACAGGGAATTAAAGTGTAAACATTCACATATTTAATAGTACCATCAAAATAACCATCAGCATCATCACTACATTAAAAACTTCCAAAATGCATTTGCGTATGGTCCTAATATAAATTAAATATAGGAACTAAAAGTAAAATAAATTTAACATTAAGTAATGCTATAAATAAAGGTAAATGCGTTTAGTGTACCTTTGAGTCATAAAAATGCTTTAAAAAACAGGTAAGTTTACAGCTCATCACCAATACTCTGGATACCACTGCCATGATTTTTTTTGTTTTTTCTTTTCAAACATTGAGAAGTCTACATTTGACAATTCAGAATGATTTTTTGGCCACTGAACACTTTGATGGAGGAAGAGGTGTGTGGGATGTCCAGGATGAAGTCCAAGTTTTATTTCACAATAAAACTTCTTTGATTCCCAGCGCTGATAACAAGGCTCTTTTTCTTTTCAAAACCTTAATTTTTTAAGTGCTTTTTTTTTTTATTTTGGTTTTTAACTCGTTTAGATTTCCATTTTGCGAAGGCTCATCCTGCTGAAGGAGTCTCTGAGGGAGAGAAAATACAATGATGAGCTCAGATTTTCCATGGTGAAATAAGAAGCCTCACCAGATGAATGACTCTGAATTGATTTCCAGTATTTCCTAGAGCTGGTTACAACAAAAATTAAGTCCACTGGCATTAAAACTCGTTGCTTTTCCACGGAATTTGGTCTGGGTTTGTATCTGGGATCATCCAGAACACCGACAGAAAGTTTAATTCCTGCGTACACACAGAAGCAGCACAAACCACCTGCACAACTGAAATCTTATTTAAATCTTTCAAACACATTCCTAAAGTGGAATTTGCCAGGAATACTTGGGAGTTGGACTTGATGATCCTGGTGGGATCCTTCCAACTCAGGATATTCCATGATTTTCAGGATATTTTATGGCATACCTGTATTAAGCTCCCTGCACAGGAAGATGAGATAATAATTACCATACCAAAAGCATTTCTAGGGCTCCTGGCTGGGTGGGGAGGGAAGCTCTGGTATTCCCACCATGCCAGCCAGGAAAATTTGCCAGGGAACAGCTGGCACACAGAGCTGGGGAGATGCTCCCAGCATCCCAAAGCTGGGCAGGGAGGGAAGGGCACCTTCCTGCAGCACTCACAGCCAGAAACCCCCTCAGTGCAGCTCCAGGAACATCCAGCCTTGCCCTGCAGCCAGGGGACTCCACAGGAGTCACAGATTCCCTGGAGGGCTCCTGCTGGGAACCATTCCTGTCCCTGTTCTGGGAGCCACAGCCTGGTTGGAAAGTGGCTGTACCCAAAATCCCCCTGCTCATCCATGACCTGCACATGGAGGTTTTGTTCACCCCATCCCTGGAATTTTCCCAGACCAGGTTGGAGCAGCCTGCTCTGGTGGAAGGTGCCCATGGCAGGGGGTGGGACTGGATGATGTTTAAGATCTTTCCAACCCAAACCCTTCTGTGATCCTTTGATTCCCACTGGGATTTTTATGTCCTGTCTCACACAAAACCCAATCTCCAGCTTCCTGGCCTTCCAGCACAGAAGACACCAACAATTTTTCCCCCCTGGAGCACCTGATCCCAGTTTCACTGGGAATAAAGTCCTGCCATGCTGAGGGTGGTTTTGCATCTAAAAAGAATGGGATACAGGATGGAAATGAATAAAAAAACCAACTGTCCTAGCTGAGGAACAAAAGGAACATTGCAAACACCACCTACCACAGCTGCTGGGAAGGGAATGTGCTCTCAGGAAGGAGAGAAGGGAAAAGGGATGGGCTCAGCCAAGAGAGCCAGGATTGAAAACAAACGGATGGCGCAGGATCCCAGAAGTTCAGACCCCTCAGTTTCACACCCTGTGCCCCGAGAGGAACCCCAAATATGCACCTGTGGCACGTGACAGGCAGCACTGCCTTGTAGAGCTGTGGGATCTTCCTGTTGATCAGGGGCTGCAGAGCCTCCTTGAGCCGGTGGTAGTTGCGCTCCAGCTCCCGCTGATATTCCTTCTGGTCCGGCCCGATCAGGCTCTTGTTCTTCCTCAAGGCATCCTCACACCTGCAAAACAAACCCTGTGAGAGCTGGGCACGCAGAAAGACCCCCTTGCTACGGGTTTGTTAATTCAATAGTACAAAAACATCCATTCTGTGCCAGGGAATATCCCTTTATCCTGTCTTCTGGTCATCACGGCTCAGCTGAACCACCTGGTGTCCAGAGGGCAAGGAGAGGGTGTCACATCTCCAGTTTCCAGAGTGACAACTCCTTTTTTATTGTCATTTACTCTCCAGTTACATTTATCCTCTCTGAAGAGAAACGGCATTTCCACAGAGCCACTTCCAGTCCCAGAGGTTTTAAAGATGTATAGAATCAGGAGTGATTAATAAATAGCAGCCTGGGATGTTCATCAGGAACTCTTCTGTTTGCAAAGATGTAATTTAAATAAAGGGTAGGAAAACAACTGTATCAGCAAAGCCATTTATCTCACAAGGGAAAACTATGCTTCCACTTGATCAATTTGCTCACAGCATTTTAATTTCAATTATTTTGGTGGTTTTGTTAATTTCTTGGTACTGTAAAAGATGCTGGACTGAGCCTGCAGTTTGCATGACTCAAGGAAAGTAGAGCAGCCAACACACTTCTCCAGGGAATTGTGCCAGCATCCCTCCACTCTGCCTGGAGAAATTCACTTCAGAAGGAAATTTCATCTCCTGGCCAGTCCAGCAGTTCCTCCTGACCTGCCACGCTGGGAGTTCTGGGCTGCTGTGATTTCTGGGACACCTCAAAACAGAGCAGGGATCAGTTCCCTCCTGATGAACAGCAAGGCCCCTGAAACCATGGAGCAGCAGCACCAACAGGGAAGGGCTGGGCAGGTGAGGAATGAGCTGCACATGGAACCTGGGCAGGTGGAGGGACACCAGGACAACCCTGGGTCACTGCACGTGTCCCTGTCTGGGGTGGCAGCAGCCACTGCACCTGACAGGTGCCTTGGGGACCCCTTCCATACCTTTTTGTGAAGTCCTTGAAACAGAGCCGGAGTTTGTTGTGGTGTCTGAAGAGCTTTGGATCGTTGGGGATTTCAGACAAGAAAACTTGTGCAACTTCTAATGGTCCCTTTAGGAGAAGAAGGGGCACAGTGAGTTTCTGGAAACTGTCTGTCATATTCAGTCACTGGAGAAAGTTCAGCCACATAGAAAACATCCACAAAACACATTTCCTTACACAAAGCATCCTGAAGAGCTGTAGATGGGAAATCTGGTGTAAATCACCAACCTCAGTGACAACTGAGTCTCTTTTAGGCCTTGCTTTGTTTTATTTAAAACTCTGCTTTTGGAAAACAGTGTGAGAAACTGCACAGATTCTCCATTTGTTTTCCTTTATAAGGACTCCTGACAAAGTTTGCTCAACTCACAACTGAGGCAAAGTTTAAACAATGCAGATGGAAGCCAGGGAGTGTTTGCCAGCACTGCAAACTCAACCCAGCACTCAGAACTCCAGCTGATTTTTTTCCAGCTTGTGCACTGTGCTTTACTCAGGCTCCTTCAGTTTTTCCTCAGTTTTTCTCCACCACTTTCCATTTTGTCAAAAATCAACAGCAGAGCCTGGCTAACAAAGGGAAACTTTCAGGGAAGAGGAGCAGCCAGAAACAACTGCAAGTGCCAGGAAGGAGCAGTAACTGATGGAGGGATGTTTCTTCCCAGCCTCTTTCCACATTTTTAAGACTCTTACTCAAATAGCAAAATCACTGGAACAGCTGGCCTCGATCTACCAGTGACCTTAAAGACATCCCACAGACTGAACAGGGGAAAAAATTCCAAGGGAATTCAGAAACAAGGGCCAAGGCTGTGCACTCCCAGAGAGTCCAGCTGGGACAGCGATCCTCACCTGATTCACTGTGGTACCTACTGATCCCTGCAGCACCATCTGCAGCATCTTGGGGTCTGCAGGGTCTTGGTGGGTGGCAAAAGCCAATTCCTGTGTTTTCTTCTGCATGTCCTCGATGGCGACTTCGATGGGGGTCAAAATGATCTAAGCAAGAAGCCAGAACAGGATTTTTGTTATGGCTGAGCTTGGCAACCAGGCACAGACCTTCAGGAACGCCCAGGTCACAGTGCGGTGGCACCACAAAGGGGTGGGGGACACCAACAGGACTTCAGAAATGCATCTGCTTGGTTCAGTGACATCAAGAAAAAGTTTGATTTTCAGATGTGTTTCTGGGCACTCCAGAGCTGCCTGAGGTGTTTCTGAGTGGCACTCGTGTCCCTTTGGGTCACTGCAGGGTTGCAGCACTGCCAGTCCCTGAGCACTGCTCACAGTGACCACATCTGAGCCTGCCCACCCTTGGAAAATTCACAAACCTCCAATATCACAGAATCATGGAATGGTTGGGTGGGAAGGGACCTTAAAGCTCATCCCATTCCACCCCCACCAGAGGCAGGACACCTTCCCTAGACCAGGCTGCCCTAACACTCACCTTGCAGAGCTCTCCAAGGGCCCCTGCATGTACCAGGTCTGGAGGTGGTGGGGCAGATACATCCCTAAATCAGTCTGGCCTTAGTTTGGGCAGAATGGGAACAGGGGGAAGTCCCTAGGAACTCCTAAGGCAAGCTGGACCCGGAGCTGAAGGAGCCTCCTGCGCCGCCGGGCACCGTTTCCCACCCGACTGCGGCCTCACCTCCTCCTTGTGGATGACGTTGATCCTGGTTTTGATGTAGGGGAAGGCGTGGGAGGTGGTGAGGATGGTCTTGCGCTTGAACTGCTCGTGCAGGTCGCCGTGGGCGCGGCCGTCCAGCGTGAAGGGCGTGCAGTACATGAAGCGCCGCAGGTTGTAGTTCTTGTCGAAGTAGGTGATCCTGTCCTTCATCTCGTACGTGTCGAAGTAGGGCTCCACGTACGTGATCTGGATGTAGGCCTGCAGGGGCAGCAGGGAATGTGCTCCTCGCTGTCCCAGCGGGATCTGTGTCCTCCCAGCGCCACCACTGAACAAACTAGGCCTGGGTTTTGCCTTCAAAAATCCCGCTCACCACTGGTTTGTGGGCTGGGTAAAGCACAGCTCACTGTCCTTCCCTTCTCGTGCCTTTCACATCATGGAATGATGGAATGGTTTGTGTGGGAGGGACCTTAAAGCCCATCCAGCCCACCCCTACCACAGACAGGGACACCTTCCCCTGAAACAGGTTGCTCCAGGCTGGCCTTGGACACTTCCAGGGGTTCAGGGGCAGCCACAGCTTCTCTGCGCACCCTGTGCCAGGGCCTCACCACCTCACAATGAATTCCTCCCCAATACCCAATCTAAACCTTGCCTTGCAGGTCATGCCCTGCCCTGAGCCACAGTCGTTTCCTAGGCCTGCTCTTGCTCTCTCTGCTGCAGTTAAAGGATGTGGCACAAAGGTGACAAAATGCTGCAGCTGCACAAGAGTCAGAGCATGGCACAGCCCCTCCTTCCCTGCAGAGCAATGCCAGCACAGCCTCTGTCCTTTCACCTCCTCCCTTCCCACCCACCACTACCAGGGTAGGGAAGGGAATGGCCAATTCTGCCACTCTTCCTGGAATTATCTTCCCAAACTCTCCTCCCGAGCAGTCACAAGATGCTCAGTATGTGGATTTTGTTGCCCATATGGTGAAATTCAGAGGAGAATTTGTCCCACTGCATTTTCACCCATTCAGGACCTGTTCTACTTCTACACCTGCACTTGTACCCTTACCTTGTTGGGATCGAGTTTACATTTGTCCACAGGGTTTGAGTCCTTGATCACTTCCAGCACATCTTCCCCAAACCGTTCTCCATAAAAACCCTACAACCAAGGAGAAAGGAACTGAAAGCAAACATCAAATGCAGCCCTGATGGGGGCTGGGGGGAAAAGGCACATTCTGGGGAGGTGAAACTCCACATGCCTTTGACAGAATGTGATCTGCTGAACCCGGGAGAATTCCAACACTCACATTCCAGGGGCAATGAGAAAAAACAAGCCCTGGAAAGCAGGAGAGCCTTCCAACAGTGCCTGGTTCTGAACGAGGCATTTGCGTTTGTTTTGTGGCTGTGCACAACTAAAACAGGTCAGTTTGGGATCGACTGGTGTTGGAAATGATAGGATGTTTTAGTTAATGGTTTTAATTAACATTTAAATTACCTATTTTAATCATAACCTATATATATATATATAACAAAGATTGTGATATATATGTGTATGTATATATATATATATATATATATATATGTATGTGTGTATTAACAAAAACTATGTTATTCTTAAATTAGTCTTAGCCAGCATTTAGCAACCTTGTGATAACCTACTTTTGTGGGAGCACAGCCTGGGAAAATTAATGAATCTTTAAGTTTTGATAAACCAACTCTGCTGTGCTTCAATGAACAAAGCCTGGGAGAGATGGACTGTTGAGGCTGGACATCTGGAATGCAGAATTTATGGACCACAAGGACACTCTGGAGAAACCAGAAGATAAAGAAGAGACTAACAAAGACTCGGTCTATGCCTTGGAAAGATCCTACTGGAGGAAAAAGATAACAGGAGCACCACACATTCTCAGGGAGAGCTTCTCCCTGATCAGTGAATTCCTCTCCTCCTGCAGAGGTGGCACCAGCAGGAGGTGCCCAGCTCTCAGACACCCAAACTGCTTTTCTAAAGGGCTGTTCCTATGAAAACAACTGATGGGAAGCAGTTAAACTCCCAGTTAAAGCCTCTCACCTCCAGCCGATGGGAGATTTCAGCCAGCTTGGTTATTGCAGGTTCCTTGTAAACAAACTCTTGCTCATCCAGGTCTCCAAACTTAGTTCCATAAAAACCAACTCGGAAGTAAGTGCCAAACATCCTCTTTCCATCCTAGGGATGGAGAAACAAGAGGTTATTTCAGGGTGAGATACGCACACCCCCAAGCACGGCTGCAGGCAGGCTCCTGAATTTATGCAAAATGAAATTAAAAAAAACAAGGGAAAAAAATTAGAAAGAAAAGAGAGAAAGAAAAAAAAACCACACCTGGAACTCAGCATGGATGCATTTAGCAGCAAACACCACAATGGAATTATCAACTAACATGGAATTCTATGGATCAGTTACGACCATTAGCCCAACCCTGCAATGACTTCTCCCAACCCAGGAGGAGCCTGGAGGTGCCATCATGGAATTATGGAATGGTTTGGGTTGGGAGGGCCCTTAAAGCCCAACCAGTGCCACTCCTGCCACAGGCAGGGACACCTCCCACTATCCCAGGTTGCTCTAAGCCCAGACCAACCTGGCCTGGGACACTTCAAAGGATTCAGGGGCAGCCACAGCTTCTCTGGGAACTTGAGACTCACCACCCTCACAGGGAAGAACTCCTTCCCAATATCCCATCTAAATCTATTCTCTTTCAGTTTAAGAAGCATCAGATGTCTCTGAGAGGCAGCCAAAGGCAAATCCCTTTGTTGGGAGCATTATCTGAGGCCCTCCAAAGCCTGTGCAGAAACCCTGCAGGGAGGGGTTAGACACCCCTGGAATCAACCAGCATTGATTCCCCCCAAATCCACCCTCCAGGAATTGCAGGGTTGGGCCCAAGTCAACATCCAGTTCACTCACACACACACACACACAAGTGCTTTTGAACCGGCATTCCAGCTGGGAGCTGTTACACTCTCTGAGAACTGCCTAGGAGAGAGGGCCAAAGTCACTCCTGGTGAAAGCAGATGCAATCCTGTGCCATGTACCTGCTTCCAGGGGAGCCAGTGGTGAATTTGGCCCCGAAACGCAACAAAAGTAGAGAAACAAGAAAGATTTTTTGCTGGAAAGGCAACGGAGATAATCTGATTAAGAGAGAGAGAGAGAGAGAGAGAGAGAGAGAGAGAGAGAGAGAGAAGAAAAATGCTTTAAAAATTAAACACACCTTGCTTTTGTTAAAGAACTCGCGCTGCATGCACAAACCAGGGATGCCTTTCAGCAAGAAACTCCAAAATGTTCACCTTTACTCTCGTGACAAAGTGTGATGCAGTTTAGGACACTCAGTGTCCCTGAGCTGGGTTAGATTTTGGCTTCAAACAGCCCTTACTGGTGTCCTGGCTGCCAGGTTTTATTTTAGGGTTTTTCTATGGCAAAACTGATCTCTTGTGGTGATAGTGAACAAAATCTATGGAAGGTAAATAGGATAAATAAGCCAAACTAAAACTAAAAAAAAAAAACCCTTCAGGCAAACTCCAGACTGCAAAAACCACTGGCATGGCCACTGCCTTATCCTGGCTGGGGGAAACTCTGGAGAATCCCCCTGGGGATGCCTGAGGGCTAAAAACTTCCACTTCTGAGCTGAGCTCTGCCCTCCCGAAGGCACCTGGGGTGAGTAGCAGCCCTCATCCCAAAAAAGCAACCCCTGGCTGTGCCCAGGCTCCCTGGACCCTGCCCTAGAGGCTCTCTCCTGCATAGAGGGGCTCTTCTCCAGCCCCACTGCCAGGGGACACACCACACCACAGGATCCCAGGAGCACTCCCAGGGTGGGAACTCCAGCTGCAGAGCTGTTGCAGTTTTACTGGATGTTGCCATTCCCCTGGATTCCCTGTCTTTGTCCAGCACCCATCCCTCTGGATCCATGCAGGACTGAGCTCCTAAACTTTTTTTCCTCATCACTACCTTTTCAAAGCCAGTTTTGGGTAACATTATCCACACTAAAATCCCTCAACACCCAGCACTTCCAGCTTCCCTCTGTCACAGACAGAAGACTCTGACCTCAGGGCTCCTTTCTCAAAGTCCTTCCCAAGGGAGCACCTGGTGGAAGGTGGGGCTGGAATCTGATGCTCTTTAAGGTCCTTTCCAACCCAAAGTATTCCATGACTCCATGTCTGCCTGGGGGGAGCTGCCACACAGATCAGCTCCCCAGAGCCAGCACAAGGCTTGGCCATGCTCCACAGGGAAGTCCATGGGATCCTGCTCCAACCCTGGCATAGGGTGGTTGAGGACACACTGATTTCTAATTAATGAGATTTTTCCTTCCTCCTTGGCCAGGGGTTTCCAGGGCGTGAAGCATTTGCAGAACCAGATCCCTACAAGTGAGTTTTTGCCATGGACACCTGCCCAGGTAGCTCCTTTTTACAGGCAGGGTAAAAATAACAAGGGAGGAAGAGAACGTTGTCTGCTGATCAACGTAAATCACTGAGGCGTTCTGCTGGCATTTACTAAATGCATAAAATAAAGAGTTTGGGGGCATTGGGGAGCCCCAGGAATGGCAGAACTCCAGGGAAGCCTGGTGAGATTCCCTGCCCCTGTGTGAGGTCAGCTCCCAGCTCATCCCTATGCAGACCAGCTGTTCTGGCTTTCCCTGGTAAATCCAGATGTTGAATCCCAGTTAAAGGGATCCCAGAGCCAGCAGTGAGGAGCACTGTCAGCCCCTGATGTGATTCCCTGGAAGCAAGGGAATGGGAGCAAATCCCTTTGGGGGAAACACTTCCAGACCACTCCAGGCCTCCCAGGGATATTCAGGAGCTGCCACTTCCCTGGGATCAGCCTGGCATTAGGGCCTGGGGATGGCTCTGTACTGGGATCTCTGAATCTCAGGCAACACCAAACCACTTCCCAACCACAGCAGGGAAAACTGACCAAATAACTTAATGCTCGTGCTCTTTTTTTCTGGGAGGAGCTAAAAATGCAGATATGAGGGAGAAATTATTAAAAGCATCATATCTCCTATTATTTTATAATAAAATAATAGGACTTTGGGAGAAGAAGAGAATGAAGGTGAACACTGAATAGCCATCACACAACTGCAGAGCAGGTAACAGCCACCATGACTTATGAAGGTTCATGATTTGTTATTATGCATGGTAAATACCTTTCCAAATTGCTGGGAATAAAGTTTTGGGGTTATCTTTTGCACGCACACAAAAAGCTTTGCCAACAAGATTTGGGGGGGGAAAAAAGATACATCAGATGCAAGAGGGATCATCTGCTTCCCTCATCAAGACAGCAGCAGCTGTCTGATGGGTGCAGGAACAAAAGCAACTCCTTCAAAATGCAGAATCCAACCCATCTTTACCAAACTCAGCACTGTTATTTCCCTGCTCAATTTTAACCCAAGGTCCTTTGCAGTGTTGCCAACTACTACAAGTCTTCCAATACTGATTTTTTGGGAAAGAATCGGCTCCTGGAGCCCTGTTATCCACTGGCAACCTCCCCCTGCACAGATTAAAAAGAGTTTTTAAATTCTCGTGGTGCAGCATGAGAAGATTTTTTCTTAACTTTCCTAACTGGAAAGCAAACACATGGAATGGATTCAACATTTATTCCATGAATAAACACACAAAGCCTATCAGTTGGTGTGTTTAAGGAGAACTCAGGAATGCTCTGGTGCCAGACTCAGGACACTGAGCAATGCTTGTAGTTGGCAACACCACATGCCTTGTGCCATTAGGGGGGTGCTGCTGTTGGCATAGCTCTTTGCTAAAATGAAATTGAGGGTTCCACAGTAAAACAAAAAAAAACAAAAACAAAAAGGGGAGATGGGGGGAAAAGGGGCAGAGAAAGGGAAAAAAAATTCCACAAGTAGGAACTTACCACAACAGACAATAGTAAGAGTGGGGAGGAGGGTCAGCAACCAGGGCGATAGAGGAGAAAACAGAAAGTATTTAATTAGGGAAATTCCATAAAACAAACAAGCAGCAACTTGGCAGCAAATAAATTTTAAAATTAAAAAAAAAAAAAAAGGTGGGGGGGGAGCATCCATTAAAATATTTAATACAAGGGGGGGAAAAAAAGGGCAAAACATGCAACAAACCTGAAAGCTACAAAGCACAAAGGTCAGAAAAAGTGTGGCAATGAAGGAGCACGATGACAGACGAGAGCTGAACCCACGGTGTCTTTTACCATGCAGTAAAACATGACCAAGTGGTGTTAGAATCATAACCAATGGCAGGAGTTTCTCCAGGGGTCGATTTAGGGGCAGAATAATAAAATAGATGCTCACAGGCCTTGCTGGCTTGAACACATTTACATCATTTCCACACCTAGCACAGGTTCTCTGCTGGGCTGTGTCTGTCTGGACCTTCCATGGGGACAAGGGGATGTCTTCCAGGGCCAGCCCTGAAGTGTCAGGGTTTATTTTAAGCTGCTCAATTTCCTTTTTTTGTAGGCTGGAATTGAAACTGACATTCAGACATCACCAGCCCAAATTATGTCCCACAACACCAAAGGGGTTTTTTTTCTCAGCCTCAGTTCAATAAATGTGTGGTGGAAACCTGCAGGGAGGTGGCCCAAAATGAGCTGCTTGGTCCATAGAAAACCAAAAATAAACTGGAAAGATGAAGCCTGAACAAATAACATCATAATTCACAGAGCTTTTTAGTGCTTTCTCCATGCTCATGCACCCACTGTGCCAACTGGACTAGGGCTGGAATCAAAGTGGCCCTACAGATTAATCAATTGCTCTGTCCATTTTTAACCCAAAAGCGTGGTTTTCATGGTTTGTGTTGCAGAACTGTGAGCAGGCAGCCTCCTCAAAAACCCAGGCATCAAAACTGGCCCAAGTTAACACAACTGAGCCCTTTTGCTGCCAGATAAATCCCTACATAAATTGACTGAGAACAGAAGGAAGCAGTTTCTCCTCTGAGATCAAAGGTGCACCTGCAGCAAATCAGGTTTGTGTTTGGTACCTCTGAGCATTGGTGCTTAAATCGACCCCTGTGGGTGGGGTGAAAATATGGTATGGAGGGATGATTTTCTTTGTCAATACTGATGGAAAGAAATATAAACAAATTATAAAAACAAACTAGTGATGATACAGTGGCTCATTCACCAAAGAACCTCATTAGTGGAACACGTCAGCATCCATGCACTACCTACAGCTGCTTATGAAGAAATTCCTACTACAACCATGGTTTATTGGGATTTCTTTGGTTAATGAATTGTTTTAAACAGCAGACAGCAACAGAAATACCCACAGCTAGCACATGTGGGCAAGCGTTGGCGTGAGTCATCTGGAAACTCAATTAGTGTTCTTTGCTAACTAAGATGGAGTTACCTACCTCCCAGCCAGTACTCTGTGTGATAAAAAGTAAAAAGGGCATGTCACAGAAACCAAAATAAGAGTTTCAAAGGCCAAAACATGACCAGCAATAACCCTGCAATGGTTTCAATGGTTCTAAGTCATCATGCATCCAAAGCAGCCTCCTCTGGCCCAGCACAGCCAGGTCCTCACCAGCCCTTTAAACTGGTGGCTTTTGCACCATCCAAGTTTGGAAAGGTTCCTTCAATTCTTTAACCACCACATGAACAAACAAATAAACCCCCCAGCATTTCTGGATGTTACCTACCAGGCTAAAGTCAAGGTACAGTAGGTTTTCCCAGCATGCAAAACACATGTTTTAAACATCTGTTTAAACAGATGTTTAAAAGAACATCTGAAAGGATAAACTGGAATTTTTAACTCTTGGATAGTTCTGAAGTTACAACAAATCTTGTTATGTGATGCTCTCTCGTGTTAAATTCCAGAGGATAAAAGCTGTTAACGATCCTTGTATTTACTGTGGATCATCATTTGACAATTCTCCTGGAATCTGAGAATAATGGTTTTTCATTTTCCTTGCACTGAGCATTTGAAGTTTCTTCACAATTCACCCTGCAGCTGAAAATTCAAACCATTACCTGGTGAACAATCTTGCTGAATGCTTCCTGCAGTTTACCATGAATAGTAGACAACTTCTTGGCATCTCTGTTGGCTTCATGAATAGGAATAAGGACTTTGTAAACCTCATTAACTGCTTCATACATGCCAGCCTACAAAAATAAGGCCCATCAGATTGCTCCGTCAATTCAACAGCCAGAATTACACACACAGCATTTAAATGATAAAACTGTAAAGTGAAAAGGTGGCTGAGACACCACTGTGGGATAATCACATCTTTTCTTAAAATGTACCCAGAGATAAATGGAATAAAATCCTCAGTTACCCCTGAAACCAAGAGCCTGGTGCATTACACCTTGCTGTCAGTAATTGGGATCATTAACATAACCCATCCTGGGATATTCTGGATGGATACAGGCACAAGAGTAAAACAAGCTAAACAGGATCCTAAACAAATCTGTGGGAATTAAATATGGAAAAGCTTAAGTGCACATTTCAGCTTTTTCTGTTCAGCACATCTTCAGCCCATGTGACTTCTGCATCCACTTCTGGCACTCCAGAAGAGATGGGCTTTGGAAGATCCTCAGGATCTCTCTTATGGAGGGGGTCCAGCCCAATGTGGACAGTCACTGCATAGAGTGGCTTAGCAGGAATTCCAGGCTTTCACCCTGGATTTGTTGCTGCTTGTGCCTAAGCCCACTGAATCACACCTCATGTTGTGCAGTGGGAATTAATTCACTTGTTTTCCTTGGTTTACTCCAGAGGGCAAACCAGGCTGTCTTGAACAATTAAAACTCCAATTGCTCCATGCAAATTAAGCATTTACAGTAGAACTACACACTCAGAGAGAAAACATTTTTCTTCCTACTGCCCAGCAGTGTGAGGTTGCTGGAGAAGGGAGGTAAAGAAATTAAAGTCTTCTACCATGGAGAAAGATGCTGCAGCCTGTTCCAGCAATCCCACCAGACCAGCTTCTGTAAAATACTTCCCAGAACAGATTCCTTCTTCATCTGGGGACACAACATCATCAGAAACTGCTGACTCTTCCAAAACATTGGAAGATATGTTCTGGGAGGATATAAGAAATAAAAATACACTTACTCAATTGAAACAACACTCAACACTTTCAACACTTTGAAAGGCAGCTGATCTGCAGTCAAATCCTGGAATTTCTATAAAGGTAGCTTTCTATTTTTGTAGAGTATATATATATGTAAAATACAGCTTTCTATTTTTGTAGAGTATATACGTAAAATACAGCTTTCTATTTTTGTAGAGTATATATGTAAAACACTTCCATTTTTGTAGTGTATATATAAAATGTATCTATTTTTGTAGAGCATGTGTATTAAATACACATTTCTATTCTCACAGAGCAGCACTTCATTCACGCAACAAACAGTGAGCACGGTTCGAGGACGTAGGCACAGAACTCCCAGCACATGGAAACACTTTGTACCTCAGCAGCAAAACCCAAAAACCCCTTAGAGAGGATAATGCCCACCTGAAATGTCACACAGCCCACAGGGAGGTATTTCCTGTCCTCCAGCATGCTCAGGTACTCTGCCACCAGGGCTGCAGAGTGCACCAGGCACTGGGCGGACTCGGCGTGGTTGCTCCTCTCGGAATGTTTCCCTGCCATGTTCTGCAGCCACGTCAGCCGCAGGTCGGGGGAATTCTGGTAGCCCTTGGCAATCCTAAAGGGAGGGAAAACCTCTGTGATTCCATGTACTGAGCCAGCACAGTCCCCCAGCACTGTTTTTTCACACTGTATTTTGTCACTTCTGCTTGAACACCAACCCCCCTTAGTGCTGTCTGGAAATTCCTGAGACAAGAAGCTGTTGAGATGGGAAGTCACCCTGAACTGCAGATGTTTGAGCCACTTAGTGATGGGTGAGCAGTGGGTGATGCTGAAGCTCTTGACCAAAGCCCATGTTTCATGTTTTTGGAGGCAGTCCAAAGGTGTGGCACAATCAGAGCACACCTGCCTGGCTCCCTACAACAAAATCTCTGCTGACCTCTAAGCCTTCAGGGCCATTTTGCAGACAGCACCATGAAATCTGGGAGCACTTGGGAGCTTAACTTGGAATATCTTTTGCACATGGGCAGCATTGCATGTACCCTCAAAAAGCCTTTTGGACAAGCAGGTGCTGGAAGACCCCCAAGTTTTCCCTGAAGTAAGCACGGAGAGTTTTCTACTCAGGTGGAAGATGAGATTTCCAGGGATGGCTGGGGAATGAAAACTACTTTTATCCAAGATAAGCTGCCTAAATGCCAAACAAAACCTCTCAGCACCACATTCAAACACAACAGACAGGCACACATTGGTCTGGGAGCAGTGAGACCTCAAACTGCTCCAAAATCAAGTCCTGTAAGTGCCCAAATGTGCAGCATCTGAGCCCAAATCCACATGGAGCACTGACATCTCCTGTCCCTGCAGTGCCAACTCTACCTGTACATCAGGTCAATCAGCATTTCTGGATCTTCCTGGTGCTCCTTCATTTTAACTGTGTCTGACAGGATCATGTGGAGGTTGAACACTAAATCCTGGACCTGTGAAAAGTAAGTTGTTGTGAAGAACTGGCAGTGGGAATTGAGCTACAGATGTTATGTGAGGAACATGGTCACTCTGAATCTTTGTGTGTTTGCATCTTGTCAGGACTAATCAAAGGCCTGAGTTTTATGCGATTAGATTATTAAAAAAACCAAAACCCAAACCCTTTTCAGGGGATGCATGTGAATTCCAGTTCTAGATGGATGTTTAGGCACAGCCTGTTAATGAATTACATATTACTTGTCTCGTGGTTTATGTCTTTTACCTGGTCAGGAAATGTTGTCTCCCTAAGTTCCAGATCTTCTTCAGCATATGTCAGAATAGTCTTGAGGGAACGTCGCAGAAATTCTTCATTGAAGTTCTGGGATGTCCCCACCAGGGATGAGAGGGACATTGTCACCTGCATCTTCACTCTGGCAAAGTTCTGCAACAGAGATGTTGTCATGGTATTTCAGCAGCCTGGAGACACTGCAATACCAGTGTTTTGGTCATGGCACCCTCCTCCTGACCTCACAGAGAAAAGAAAACTGAAGTTTTGCAAGAAAGGCTGTCTCAGAGCAGTGATTAGAATAAACATGGTGCTGCCAAACTTCATAATCTGATGATTATTTAGTTCCAGATAAAGGTTCTCCTGCAAAAATATTAGCATTGTCTGTTTCCACATAGTCTCCTCTCACACACCCCACACAGGATGATGCTTTCATGAAACTGCCTTGATCCCAGTTTGGTCAAGCCTAAAAACTGGAATCCCATTATCTTTGCTGCTGTCAATCCCCAGCTCTGTGGGGGACTGAACTCAATGCCAACAGCCACCCCAAGCCCATTATCTGCAGTAAGACTCACGTTCCCAATCTCGAAGTTCTGCCTCATGAGGAGGTACAGGGAGGCACTGGCGTGGGACCTGATGGTGCTGATGCTGCTGCTGCAGTGCCTCAGGAGCCTCAGGCACAGGTCTGCACATTGCTCTGTCTCCTCCTCAAACAGCAGCTCAGGGAACTAGAAAACAGCAGGGGAGGAAATCAGTGCTTGGACAGGCAGGAATGAGCACCTGGACAAACAGGCAGCCGTGAGGGTGCACTGGAACAAGAGGGAGCCCAGTCCCTCTGTTCTGAGGGGAATGATGCTCATTTGAATCACTTTACAGTAAGGCAAAACTGGCAGCACTGGAAGGCAACTCATTTTACCTTCCCCTCCAGCTTGCTCCTACATCTACACACCGACTTGCATTACTCCCAAAAACTCGGGCTTAAAACTTCGAACTTCTCCCAGCACAGCTACAGAAACTTGGAAACAAATCCATTTAAAGTGAGATTTGTCCAGCTTAAACCCCACCTGTGCCTTGAGCTCCCCAATCAGCAGGTGCCTCTTCCCACTCAGTGCCAGCCAGCAGGAATCCACACCCAATCCATGGTGTGTGAAAGGCACTTTTTGGTGCAGCCAACCCCAAAATTCAGAAATGCAAGTACTGCCCATGGAAACCAGGCCAGGCTATGCTGCCTGAAAATTAATACTGCCCAAAATAATAATTGCTTGGGGAAGTGACTCCATAGAAAGGAATAAACAGCGCCTTCCTCCCTCAGTGCTGCTCAGGGTGGATTTCAGCCCCCACAGGGGATTCACCTTTGAGACCAAAGCTCTCTGTGTGGCAAAGCAGTGCTGGAGGTAAAGGGCACTTTGGTTGCAGGCCATGCTGTGCAGCAGCACTTTGAGCACCCCGCCGAGGATGCTCTCCTTGGACTCCGTCACGGACACGGTCTGCAAAGGGAAACCAAGATTCCATGAGAAGAAAAACGGGAAACCAAGATTCCGTGAGAAATATGAACCTCCTGTGTGCCTGTGTGTGTGGGAGAGAGCAAATAGCTCTGAACAAAAGCCCTTTGCATGGGGAAATTACCCACAAACAGCCCCGTTCTGAGCCAATCCCCAGGTGAGGAATCCATGGATAGAGCAGGTGGAACGGGGAACTCTCTGTCCCCAGTGAGGCTCTGACCTCTGGGGACATTGTTCTGCTAGAGGGAAAGCCCATTGCTGGGCTCTAGCTGGGTTATTCAGGCACAAAGTACAATCCTCGGGCTTCCTGGGTCTCTCTGCAGATCCGAGGTGGATTTGGGAAGCATGGTCCTGCCAGCTCCCAGCTGTGCCCAGGTTCATTTGTACAGAAATCAGGGGACAAAGTGAGTCCAGGTCCAGGAGGCTGACCTGGAACCCAGTGATTTGAGGCAGGTTTGGGAAGAACTGGAGGAACTGTTTGGGGACAGGGCAAGATTCAGAGATTTTTACAGTTCATTCCTGAATAACTATTTCTTATACTTACAAGGAGGGGAGAATCTTTAAATTCTCAACTTCAAGGCTGAAAGAAGGGATTGCAATATAAAAGCAGATTGTTCCAGGCTGGGAGCAGGAGAGGCATCACCCCCTTCCTGCTGCAGCTGAACAATTCTCACAGCACTGAAGGCAGTTTTGTATAACAAAGTGCTGCCTGGCCAGGTGACTGAAATGCCATTACATCTCCATTTTCTTATCAACCTCACCTGTACAACTATCTCTAGAGTATCCAAAATTATCAGGTTGGCTTCTGTTGCAAGATTCCCATCGATGAGGGCCTCATGCTCTATCTCAGCCCTTGACCTGATCAGGGAAAAAGCAGTAAAATTACTTCCTGATTAAGGAACAGACCTACATATTTTCCAGTCAAAAATGCTCTCTCACTAGCAGGAAACTCCCAGTTACAGTTTGTCTATTTATCACTGGACAACACTATGAGGATATTTCAATGCACCCCCTGAGAGGACAGGAAGGAAAACTCTGTTTTTTACAAGTACAGACTTACAGAGGCTTCACGTTCATCATGCTTGGAGAGCTCACACTGCTCTCTGACACTTCATCACTCTCCCAGGAGCACAACAACAATTTAGAAGCCCAGTCCAACTCCAAACTGGCTCAGCAGCATCATTAGGCATGCGACAGCACAACCAGGAACAGGACATGTGGCTTTATGCTGCAGGCTGTGGACACACGGTGGTGCTACACGAGCTGGAACCTGCACTGGGAGCAGCACAGTGCAGCCTGCCAGGCTGCAATCTTATCTCTCCAAGCTACACTGCATTTAACCCTTGAAGCACAACTTCCTCTCTGAGGTGAAGGACGAGGTTTTGCTGCTCCATGCCAGGCACCTGCTTTCCTGGAAAGCCTTGCAAAGTCCAGACACCCACTCACACCTGTGGCTCCAGGAATTCAGCACAACCAGCCCCTTCCAGTGGCACCAGCTGCTCTGGGCAGAGACCCAGTGGTGTACTGGAACAGCCCAACTCTGGCCTGCCCTGCCACAGGTGACATCTCTGACAGACTCATGCTAGGCTAAATCCCAGCAGGAGGGTGACCAAAATGCCAGAAAAATACACAGAAAGGGAGAAACGATTTGGATCTTAGAGCTGTATTGCAGCAGCCCTTCCCTGCCACACTCCACGTCCTCTGGGAGCTGTCTCACACCCCCAACATCTCCAGGACAGGAAGTTTTGGGATCTGGCCCCACATAAAATAATACCAATCTGCACAAAATGACAGCAGCTTCAAGCTGTGCACAGCTCTTGGAGTGAGAAGTCTTGTTTAGGGGGTTTCAAAGGCCAGGCTCTACCTACACACACAGGACACAGCAGAGCCAGTCACAGCAAGCAGGGGTTAGAAAGCAGTTCTAGAGAGTTTTATCTAAGCAGCTCATTTTGTGAGGTGAGACACCATCCTTTGACCATCAAGGAATTCCACACCTGTAAAATGTGTGCTTGAGGTCCTTCTGGGAAGGACAGGGCTCAGACCCAGCACTGGCAGTGAACTGATGAGATTCTCAGGCCAAAGTTTAATCTGGTGTGACTCTGGAATTTGTATCTACACCACTTCATCAGCAGGTTGAAATACCCTGGTCATCTGGCTTTCCCCAATGACTCAACAGGACTGGAGCCTTGGAAAAAGAGCCACTACTTGTCATAAGGAGAAATTATGTTTCTGTGTGGGACAAAACAACTAAAGGCTGTGAAGAATTGCTTTCTACTCAGGGAAGAGTCAATATCTGCAAGGGTAAAATTTGGCCCAATCTCCATCTGGGCTCTGAGGACTCCATTCCTCAGTTTCTTCAGAGCTTCACTTGGGCTGAGATTGCTTCCCTAGGATAAGGAACAATTCTTTTGCTGGGAGGATGGAGACTGCAGGTTGCAATTTGAGGAGACAGAAAAACGTGCACAGCAAAGCTCAAACACAACTCCTGAGCCCTCTGGATTAAACCACACCAAGAGAGGGAATTTTCAAGGAAATGGGTGTAATAAGCCAAAAGAGCTCATTCCAGTCAGTTGCGCACACACACTGAGAAGTTCTGCCAAGCATCACAAACAACGCTGTGATGATTGAGTCTGCAGATGTACAAAATGGCAATTTGTAAGAACTGCACACCAATGCTACAGTACCTGGCTGGTTTGTGGCTTCTAAAAGCACAGCACATGTGGAAAAACAATCAAAGTGATGGATTAGGACAGGAAAGGAAAGCGAGCTTTGAGAACTCCAGAATGCTCTTATGGAATAAAGGAAATATGACATGAGATATAAATGCTATCTGTGGAAACTCTTAATGGATTTTCCCTCTAAATTACAACTTAGGGCAGGGTTTTAAGACAGTAATGGATTGTATAAATCTCTTTAAATCTAATCTGGAAGTCTAAGGAAGCAACGGAAAGTGGAAAGGCAAGGAGTTGGGAGGGCAGTGTTGGAGTAAAAGCTATTTGCTTTTTTTTTCTTTTTTTTTTTTTTTTTTTTTGCAGTGCCAGTCCTGTGTATCTGAGGCACAAGGGCTGAGTGGCTGCTGGCAGTGACCTTCAGTGGGGAGGGGCACCCTGCTCTCACAGGCCCTGGCACATGGGTAGAGCTTAGGGAGGATAAGGCAGAGTTACTTGTCAAGCTTCTCTGTGTTCTGCCGCCAGTGAGTCATATCCTTTCTCCATCTCAGATTCTCTTGACTTCCAAAGGCGCTCCCAGAAGGGCTCCTCTCTGCAGGGTAACAGCAAAACAACAGCAGTCAGCTGATGCTCATTTCTGCTGCACGAGCAGCAGCTCCAGATCTGCTCACAAGTGGCAGGTGGCAACAAAGATGATTTTCTAGAGCCTAAGGCTCTGTGGCACTCACCCAGGATGTTTACATGGCCCTAACTCTATCACTGCTGAGTGGCATGAGACACAGAGAGGCAGCTGAGACGCTCACTGGTGAGAGGAGTCCCTTCCTTGGACTGCACAAAGAGCCTGAGTGTGCCAACCCTCAGCATTCCAACACTGCTGTCCTCAACTAGCACCCAAGAATGTTCTCAGGATGGCACCAAGACCCCCTTCCCCACCTCACAATCTTTTATTCTCATTTCTGGGAGGGCAGGGAAATTTCAAGTGATAAAAGTAATCTGGCCAAATTAAAAAAAAAATAAAGGTTCCCGTTTCTGAAGTGATTCCTTAATTATGGCTTTAAACTACTTATCCCCCTTAGCCCACAATGACAGACTTGTGTGGCAGAGCAGGAGACAAAACCACAGCTCCGATTCTTGTCCTAACCCCCGGGCACCCTTTGAATTTTGTGTGTTCATAAAAATTCCTGGGTTTTACAAACAGTAAGAATCACCAGAAGGTGCCTGTTAGCCAAACTACAGCTACTTCAAGTCTCCTTAAGTCAGCAGAAATGCCCAGGCATTTTCAGAGCTGTCAGAGCAAGATCAGGCAGCTTGCTTTCCTCTCTGATCCTTGAACAAGACACTCTGGAAGATGCTACCCTGGAAAGAATTAAGGCAAGAACACCCCATAAATGAGATGTGATCTCACTTAAAAAGGCAATCAAGTAACAAATAAATTGCCTGCAATTCAGGAAAAGTGCAGGGATTTTGCAGATCCAGGTAAGGATCCTGCAAAGAAGCTTTCCTAGGGGCCTCTTTGTATCCCACACCACAGATGGGTGCAAATAATTGTTGAGGATGGGAGGAGCAGTTTTTGGAAAAAAGGGATGGCACAGAGGACTCCTTTACTTACCCAGCTGTCCTCTACTCCTTCGGACCATTTCCTGCCTTGCCCCTATGCTGCCCAAAATTGCTTCTTCAAGTTTGGCTCTCATGTCTTTTGACTTCTTAAACGTCAGACTGTTCATTCTTTCAAACACTTTCTTGCCCTGCAAGTTCCAAACAAAAGCATGAGGGAAGATTCTTTCAGTTTGGGATATTTGCTAAGAGCTAACAACTCAAAATATCTGAAGACATGCAGTAAGAAAGGGATACAGATGAAGCTGGTAGGTACATAAATCACTCAGATGCCAGCATTGCTAGAGAAAACTCTCTTTTCAAAGTGACACTGCAGCAGATGAGGGGCAAGCAGCACAATCTGCCCGAGAAGTGGAACAAGGCACAGACGCTCACATGGCCGGAAAGTAAACATGGGAAAAGCCTGGCCTTGGGATTGTGAATACAGGAAATACTTTGGAGAGAGCAGGAAATGCCTTTCTGCAGTCGTGTAAAGGATGGGAGTGTAACAGTCCTCAGCAGGGCCCGGGGGGACTCCAGGAGGTTCCCACTTGGCAGTACCTTGTACTCAAAGCAGGACACACAGAGATAGAGCAGGTCCAGCAGGCGGTTGAGCTGCAGCACTGACAGGTCAGTGAACCACTTCTGCAGGACGCTCTCGTCCGCGTTCTTCAGCACCCAGAGCAGGCAGATGAGGAGGCTGCGGCTGGACTCTGTTGAGAAGGTGGAGTGCTGCCTGCCACTCTGAAACACAGGTCAGGACAGTGCTTCACACCCACACATTCCAATCACCATAGAGAGTGAGTTTCTTCCCTTGAGATAACTGTAACAACCTCAGCAGTTAAGCAGGGGGGGCTCCATGTTATCTCATGCATCTATCTGTGTCTCACTGAGAGGGCACCTAAGTCCCAGCCAAGTGGGGTCATGGTCCTGGTGTAAAGGCAAGAGAAGGAAGAAATGGAAGGGTCTGCCTGCTACCAGAATCAGGATTCCCCCTCTGTGCAGAGAACAGAGAAAATGGCTCTCCTTGTCTTCAGCTAGGTGGGATTTACCTGAGGCAGAATTTGTTCTTAGGGCTTAAAGCTCATAGTGACTACTTGCACTTCACAGAGCTTTTATAAGATTGTTTCAGAACAACAGAATCTTTATCAGGAAAGAGAATTCTCCCACTTTCTGAGGTTTGCTGATTTCTATCGTTCCTTGGCATTTTCTTACTCTGATACAGACACAGCAACATGCTAACATGCTTTGTTCCCCTTGTTGCTCCTCTGCACACCCAGCTACAAACTGATGTGGGTCCCCACAGAACCTGCTGAGTATTTGCTGGTTGACTGAGGGTCAGGAAATGGAGACAGATGGATTTGTACCGAAGAAGGGAGAAGAAAACTGCTCGGCCTGGTGAGCTGGGGGACAGAAGTCCCTGCAATGGCCATGGCCACAGTCTGGCTGATCATGCTGCCACCCTCACTCTCATAATCGTCCACGGCGACACAGCTCGGCCTCCCCCGCTGGTTGTGACTCTCTGCAGAGAAATACAGGACTTCAGTCAAGCCCCAGCTCCAAGGCTTCACCCCCCAGACTCCACCCACAGCACTGGTCTCACTGAACTGGGAATGAAAACTGAAAATCATTCCACTCGAGGGGTCCTGCAAAGAACAGGACAATGATTTGAGGGCCTGAAAGCAAAGAAAGCAATTCCCAAAAGCAACCTACACAACCTTAGTACCTGAAACCCTTCTAACAACAGACCCTTTGTCCCTTTTTTTTAAAATCCCTACTTGTAGCTTTACTGTGCCATTAAACTCAAAGGATGTAGAGGATAACTCTAAATTCCAAACTATTCCTGACTGGACTCCCTGCTCTGATTTGAAATAACCTCTGCTGCTCAAAGCACCTCTGGAAATGAACTGCTGATGGAACACATGATAGGAGGCAGGAGAAGAACTCTGCTTATCCTTTGGATTTAGGGCCTCCGGTAGAGTGTGAGGGTGACTTTTTAAGCAGGTCAGAGACACAGATGGAAGCTGGCTCTGCATTTACATCAGCCAGTGGGATGTAAACTAAAATGCACTGATTTTTTATTTCATGCCAACAAGTGGGCAAATGCAACTTCTGAGTGTTAACAGGCATTGAAGGCCTATTTGCAAGTGAAAACAAACATGAAAAAAAAAATGTCAAAATCACAACTGAGAAACAACCTCATCCGACAGCAAAAGCACTCATATTTCAATTTTAGAACCCAAACACCCAAGTCTGGTGGGCAGATGAGCAGATAGCCAAGGCAGAGAATATCAAATACCTGTGAAATCATAGAGCTGAGGCACAGTTTCCATGATCACGCCAATCAGAGGTAGATACAGCATTGCCACCCGGGCCTTTACCTGGGGGTCAGCGTACCGCGGGTCCGAGTCGTGGCTGGACAGCAGGTTGTGTACCATGTTGATGACCTTCTTATGCAATCCAAATAAACTGTTAAAAGACAGTTGGGTCATGCACATTAGTTAATATCTTCAAAGCAAACTCTCTTTTGTAACTAAGGGGGGCTTCAAACAAAGTGGGGGGAAAAAAATCCTGGTTTTTATTTTTAACTTTACACGAACTGCCGTTGCATGTGGTTTTTTGATCTCCCATGGATTTTACAGATGGCTGGTTTTTCACTGTGCCTTGTAAAATAGGAAAAAATATCTGATGGAATGCACACCCAGTATAATGTGAACACTCACATATTTTCCATTAAAAACCCCTGAAGTCCCAGCTACTGGTATGCATTGAATCTACTAAAAATGATTGGAAAAACTTAGGGAATTTGGAAAACAGGGAGAGAAACTTGAGAGGACAGCAGGTTTAGCAAAACTATTCATTGTATTCTTTTTTTGTTTCTATTTAACACCATTTACAGAGACACAAACCCTCCTAAGCCAAAGAACATTATTTTAATTCAATGATCAGGAAGTTTCTGCTCCAGCTCCCCACCTTACCCCATGCAATTACTGAACCAAACTACAGATCCATAATTCTGAATAAAAAGCGGCAAAGACATGAAGGGATAGAAGGAAAAATGGCCAAAATGGCTTATGTCATTATTCAGATACAAACACTGGCAGAGCTCTTCTATAGGGCACCATGTGTGACCCTCCTCAAAAACACAAAATCTCCCCTGAATCTCTCAAGGACTCTGCTCCTTTCAATCCCCTCAGCCACCACACAGAGGCAAAACTCTCCCAGAGCAAATAGCAGGCTCTCTCTGCAGCTATTTGCTTCTGTAGGCAAACCAGCCAAGAAGACACTTTACCCCATGCATGAAGCAGCCAAGGAAGCTCAGACATTAGGCAAACATAAGCTGCAATGTTCAGACCTGAGGTATTAAAACAAGTGCTGAATTTCAGGCAGTATCCACTTTATCTGAAAAGCAGAGGTGAGTTCTGGTTAAAAAAAGAGGCTTTGACTGGATTTTTGGGGGTTTGAAGTTGACTATAAGGCAGTACAGCTTGGAAGGACATCAGCTATTGGAGCTGCAGATCCTCCCTGTGGCTTTTAATCAAGCCATAATGAGATTCAACAATTGCTTGTTTGTGTAATTAGTGAGAGCCTTAACAACTAGGAAGGAAACACTTATTTAAGTGACTGGTTCCTTCAGATTAAGGATAAAGAAAAGTCTTTGTATTATTTTGAAGGAGTGGCACCTAAATTGTGTTTTTAAAAATTCAAGGGAAACTATCCCACGAGCCATAAAACTGCAGATAGGGAAAACATCCAAGTTAGGGATCCATGGATTTCTTTGTCACTTTGCCAAAGCTGAGTGGGCACCGTGTGGATCGACCCATGGTGGAGAGGAGGAAATGCAGCCCCCTGCTCTTCCTGCCTGATAAGGCAGCAAGTCGATCTCACCGCCCTCTCTACATCCCCTCCCTTATCTCAGCCCTGGCCTGGATTTCTGTCAACACCCACCCTTCTGCAAAACTGACTCTGGCACTGAACTCTGAGGGCTGAATTCTGATTTTCTCGCTTCTGGCCCGCAGCCTTGGCCAGGATGGGCAGCGTGGGTGCTGTGTGTGATGGCCAAAGCACGCTCGCAGTGTTTGCAGAGATAACTGCGCAGGGTGGCAGCTGTGCGACTGTCACGTTCAGCTGGATCCCTTCCCCTGCACACTTTGTTTGTCCTGTTTTCCAGGCTGCAGGGCAGCTCTGTGCCTTGTCACACTGAGGGATGTATCCAACACACACCTCCAGGCACCAGGGAACTGACTCCTGTCCAACTCAATCCAAAGAGTTCTTATAAAATGAGCTAGAACTAAACATATCTTGCTAATGGAGCAAAAAGAGCAAGGACAGAACACATTTAAGGCTCTGGATCACCTCTCAAGGCCTAAAACAGGTCTCTAAAACAATAAGTAACTAGATGAACAGCCCTGCAGGATAATGAACTAGGAACAATTCTGAGTTTTCTCCAGTGGTGGCCACAATATTTTATGGAAGGCAAGTGTGAACTCTCTGCTGGTGATACTGTATGACTGTTAAGTCTTCACAGCAAGGATAGAGCAGATCTGAACACACTTGGTTTACTTTATCTGGTAGATCTACCAGGAGAAATGCAGAGGGTTTAAGCTTGAGAAGTCAACAAACCTGAAACTCCAGATTTTTCTGGAAAACTGAAAAATAAAATCAATGTTTTACAGGTATACATCGGCCCCCAAATTCAGGAGTTTTGATCAAAATGCATCTCCAGAACTGAACTGGTACCAGGGGGCTTTTTCTGACCAGACAAGGTTTGAGAGAGGAACTGCCTCCTCAGTGGACACCAGCAAGCTCCTCTGTGCAGAGATTACCATCCTGGGCCAGGCTTAAGGGCTTGGTAGGCAGGTAGAAAGCAGAAAGTGAAGAACAAGGGCAGGCACACTCAGAGACAGGGCCTGATTTCTAACCAGTGAGCAGGATGCTCCTCTGGCACAAAAAGGATTTCTGCAGAAAGCACATGTGGGTAAAGATTTGCTGCTTTTTCCATTTCAGGCCAAACAAATGGGACTGCAGTGTGTTATGTATATATACAGGAAAATATTCCAGTTTATGGCATCACTTTCTTCTCCAAGAGGAAACAGAATGAATGTTTAACTCCAGAGACCTCTTGGCTAAGGGGCAGAATTAACCATGAATCATCAGCATTTGTCGACTCGACTGATATTTCTGAGTCTACCTTGAGAAAAATGTCTGTGAGGGAACTCAGGACTGTGGAAGCAATCAATAATTTCCACTGCAACCTGTTTTAAAGAGGCAAGGCAGAAAACAGCCCTAAATAACACAAGGAACAGACTGGATGTCAGGACTACAGGAGAAAATTATTTGCTGCACAAGCCAGGCAAGTCACTGACAAAGTCTGCATGCTTGACTCTATTTGTCTATTTGTGTAACCCACAGGGGCCTCATCAATGCATAATTTACAGTTAAAAAGAGCTGCAAGAACCACGGGCAAAATATATTGTAACATTTAAAATCAGCAGCAAGAGAGGCTTCCTAAATGTTGGAAGTTATTTTCCTGTTACATTTGAGAAAAGCTATTTTCCTTTCAGAGCTCCAGCCGTATCCCTGTGGCATCTGGGGGCTCCAGCAGGAATCTCCTTCCCTTCTTCTCAGCTGGAAAAATGTGACTGAAATCAGGTTTACGGAGTCTGGGATAAGGAAGAAACCCAAGGGCCAAGAAGAAAGAAGATTCTTAAATCACCATTTTCTAATCACAGCTTACAAATTTATATGAATTCTGGCCATGCCAGGACTTTCTTTGCATCCACCATTGGCTTGGAATTACAGAAAGCTCTTTGAAAAAAACAAAACTTTGTAAAGATTTACCCTTCTGCATCAGGATCTAGAATGACAGCCAGTTCTGTGAGCACCAGCCCAGCCAGGTAATGCTGCTGGCGGAAAGGCAAAGACAACTCAAACATATTTGCAATCTTCTGGTCTTGGACATTTGTGGAGAACCCAGAACTCTGAAAAAATCAAGTTTCAGAAGCTGCATCATGAACAGAGTCAAAGCTTAGGAAATACATAAGAAGCAGTTTTCAGAATTAAAGACAACCTCACGCCTTTTTTGTGTGGATCAAGGCACATCTACACTTAAATTCCATCCCAGCTCAATAACCCTTCCATTAATTCTGTTGTTATTGTCTTCCCCTGTTAGGAAAGTTAAACCAAATAACCTTTAAAAATGGATTGGTTAAACTTTTAACTCAAGGATGCTCTTATTCAGACTGAAGAAGGCTTTAATTTGATTTAGTTTGTGTGAATTTGCAACTAATTAATCCACTTGAATGACACACTAATTCAAATTACTTTTTCTGAGCAGGCCAGGACTAAGCTGCAGGGACCTCAGAAGTCCCTTGTGTTGCCAGGAAAGGGTAACAGTGGACAAAGTCTTTTTTTTTATGGCTTATTTGTGTTTGTCCAATACAAGAGAGGACCAGGTCCCTAAGGACATTGACAGCGGGATATGGGCACTCTTCCTTCAATAATAAAAGATCCAAAGAAATCAGAACCTATGTGGCAGGAAAAACTGATCTCTAACTGAACACTTCCAAAAATATTAGCACTGAAGGTACAGTGACACAACTGCCCCCGAGGATTTAATTCTCAGCGCCGAGCTCAAGTTGTATTTCCCAAATTTCTCAGTACCTGGGAAGTGGCTGAAGACACGGATGGTGATGGAGATGCAGGTGGTGTGAGCAGGCTGCAGGGTAAATTCAAGGTGACATAGTGCTCGTGGCTGCAAATGATGCGCAGGAAGTCCAGCCTCAGAGATGCCAGGTTGCTTGGATTTGTTAAGGAATACAGCTTTGAAGACACCTGGAAAGTCCAGCCCACAGCATTGCAGTCAGCACCAAAAGAAAGTGTAACTGCAGGGTGAGCCCCCCTGGCCCACTCCTACTCCCCAAAATCACTCCCAATGCAAGAACAGGGGAGTTTATTTTCATTAAATGGTCACAGCCATGTCCACAGCACTTTTTTGTGCCAGAGCTTAAGTTCCTGATGTGCAGGAGCAACACAAATCCCAGACATACTTCCCAATACAAGATCTATACACCACTCCTATTTAAATAACCAAGATGATCTTTAAGGTCCTTTCCAACCCAAACCATTCTTTGATTCTATAATTCCCACATCCTATTTATTGATTTTAGCAGGAAGTTGTGAGACCACAGTGTGATGCACTAACAGCTCCAAGATGTAGGGTTTTTTATACATATATTTTTTATATATAAAAATCTAATTAATGACACATAATATATGAAATATACAGCAGGCAATTTGAAATTCTAAATGCTCTTGCTGTTCTTTTGCTCCTTACAGAGAATGTTTTAGACTCTATGGGGAAAATGAGTCTAAGCTTAGTCTCACTTCTCACCCATCCCTTGTTGTCTCCTCTGTACACAGTGTCAGAATGGATGTTTGTAGTCAAACAAAACTTTGTGGTTCAGGGTGATTTCCCTATCACACAGCAAATGAGGAGCCTTCCTTATGGGGGAGGACACCCTGCATCCCCCAAAGGATGGAGAAGGAGCTCAGTGATCAATATGATCATCCAGGGTCACTGTGTCCTTAAGAGACCACGACAGTCTGAGCTCCCTCACAGAACCTCCCACTAATTTTTGATTCAATTACTCTGAATGTGGTGAGCAGAGGGAGTAATTCTCCCTTCCTGCTGCATGTCCTTTCACTCCAGGGAGCGACTCCTAATTCACAGTTAAGAGTGTAATCAGAGAGGCGTAAACCCTAAATCACCTCTGAGAATGCTCTGCTCTAGGAAGACCTGAACAGTGGAATTCTGTGTCCATATTTTACTGTTTGTCCAGAGAAATTTAACAGTAACAGGCTCTGCCATGCTTCAGTTAAGCCACAACGTTTATCTGCATTCACCTGTTTGTAGCAGGTCTTAATAAGAGCAAAAACAAATCCTCTGTCCATGATGGACAACAAATCATTGAGGAAAAACGCCAGGCTGGTGTTGAGCCGCTCCACCATTTCCGTGTCCTGGAGAGAAGGAAGAGAAAACCAGAAAGCAGATGAAGAACCCTGTGTGTTTTCAAGCAAACAAGAAGCAGGAGGGCTGGTGGCTGAGCTGGGCTCAGTGTAATTGTCTGCCATCACCTTCTGGAAGCGGGAGACTATATCACCAGCGATTGTGCTGACCAGTGCAGACACGTCATCCATGAAGCGCTCCGGGAAACGATTCTTCCTCGGTGCATCCAGTTTGTCAGCAAAATACAGATGATGCACCATGCTCTTCACCTACGGGGATATAAATTACAGCAGAGCCACTTGCAGCTGTTGCTGGTTCTGTCTGAAAGCAGGGGCTGGGAAACATCAGGGAGGTGTTTGCTCACCATCAGCTCAAAGAAGAACCAGGCCTGCTGCAGGGCCGCCTCTCGCACGCTCCCGCTGCACACAACCCACTGCAGGGCCAGCTCCTCGTGGAAAAGCTACAGAGTTAAACCCAGAGTCAGCCCGAGCCTCCAGAGCAGCTCCCAGCACAGCCCCCATGAGAAATGTCAGCACGGTCCATGGCAAGTATGGCAAACAATGAGTTAAGCAAACTAAATAACTGAGGACATGACAGCAGTGGTGGCATCCCATAAAGAAATCCCCAGCTAACAATGAGGGATGAGGTTATGACATGTGGTGTGAGAAATGTTTCACAGCATCTCGCTCCAGGATTGAATCTCAAGTGTCAAAAGAATGTTCCGCCCGCCCCCAAGAAATAATAATTAAAAAAAAGGTTGGTGCTCAAATTAGTTTAGTTTAAAAAGTCTACCTTTCTGCCTGGTCTGATTTTCGCAGGAAAAAGGAGTAAAAAGTGGACATATAAAGTGATTTATACAAAGATGTATATTTACTGTGAGAAAGGACTTAAAACAATAAGAAAGAAACATGGGGCTCAAACAGCTCTTGGATTTCTCTTCTTGGAACGACCAACCCACAGACTGACAGTGGCAGTGACCACATTTTCATTACACAAAAGCTCTGGCATTTTGCCTTTCTGACATTGTTCACGAGTTTCTCATTTCCTGTAAGGGAGTTCACTTTCAAAGTGACTCCCATTCCCTTTCTAGAGTCTCTCTGGATTAACACCTGGATAAGTGAGCTCAGCACACCGAGCCATCCAACATATTTTTATTTTGCACACAAAATGTATCATTTATGTGTCTAGACAGTGCTATTCATATTTTTTGAAAGCCAGTAATGAACTGGCCCCAAACACTATAGCCATTAAATCAGACAAGATCATTTAATTCTTCCCAATTTAACTCCAAATACTTCACATTCCCTACAGCCTGGATACTCAGAGGTGTTAAGCACCAGCAGTTCCTAATGACCTTGGAGGGGAAAAAAAAAATAAATCAGGCCATAAATAAAAGAATAAATTGCATCATGTTTTCAGAATGACTTGACCTCCCTGCCCCACAATATCAATTGTCTCCACTGAAATCTACCTTTTTGGTTGGTAATCGTCCTGTTAATGTTTGTAAGAAACTTGACGTCTCAGTGTGCGAAGACATACGATTACAACTTCGATCCGTAGCCTACGGAGTGGAGATGAATGAATGATGACAGGACATTAAAGTTTGCCGTGGATGGGTTTTGCAGCTCAAGGACAACGAACGTTTACAAAAATACTCTTCCAACTGTAGGGTTTTTACAGGTTTTTAAGCATTCTCAAACTCTTAGGCATTTACAGATTGGTCTAAACAAAATGACAGCAATTTTGACTGGTTTTAAGGCATACAGGTTATATAAAGAACTGCATGTTCTGATGCACAAAGACAATGCTGCAAAGCATGAAACTTTTCCATTGTTGCATTTTATCAACATGCACAGGAAATACTTGGAATTTCAACCCATACCTCTCAATCTACCGGAGGCCAAGCGTGGGGGGATGTACCCACAGCCACGCTGCTGCTGCCACGGGCAAGGGGAAAATCGCTCAAGTTCTGCTTCTGATGGAAATAATTTGCCATGAGATCAAGTGAACCTGGACTAAATATTTTGGGAGGGCTGATGAACTGGGAAGGAGGAGCAGTTGAGAGGTACGTTCAAGGCAAACATGCAGTGGAGAGCAGCAGGCAACAGGGGCTAAATAAACTCTTCCTGACTGAAGCTGCTGTAAAGTTTTCATACTTTGCAACACAGAACAGTACAATTGGCCCTGGCAAATTACTGCCTCCAGCACTCAAATTGACAAATGTTTTAAGAGAGAATTTCATATGTGGCAATCAATTTGGGTTCACAATATTCCACTCAAACAAGTCACGAAGGATTACTGGATGATGAATACTAAATGCTTGATGAGAATGGCAAAATGGTTCACGACATCGAAAGGAATGGCAAACATGGACAAAGTATGAAGCTGTGATTAATGTTCCCACTTAGAAATGTGCTCCACCTGAAGCTGAAACTAGTGTGAGAGAAAGAGAAAAAATGAAAACAAAAGCAGTCACAGCATTTACATTTCACAGACCAGCAACCACTGAAATGAAAGGAGGGGACACGTTCACGCAATCGGAGGTTTTTCATGCACTGTGGTGGGGTGGTGGGGGGAGAAGATGAGAATTTGTAAAATCAAACTGAAAAGTTTTCAAATAAACAATTATGAAAAAAAAAAAGAAAAAAAAAGAAAGAAACCACCAAAACTGGAATATGCACTGAAAGAAGGATATTCTACAGGGAAACATCAGGGAAAACAAAGGCAGAAAAACCTCTACCGAAGACACCACCTGTGTTGACTCTGCACTTGGGCTGGGGTTGGATCCCCATGGGGCTGCTTTTGGACCACCAGTGTTTACCCAGGAATTGGAGCGGTCTAAGCCCTGGGCATGTAATAGAAAGCAGTTGGGAAAGGAAAGAAATATTACACGTTGCATGCCATACAGCAGTCAAAGTTCAGTCCTTACAAGCAATCAAAGTGGGTACACTGCAAACACATCAGCACTTAGAACTGTTGGGGCAGCCTGAGTTCTCAGAGACATTGGGTCCAGAGGATTATTTTATACCTTGCATACACACAGAACATTAACCCTGTCAACAGCTCTGATCTGGCTTGTCCTGTCTGGAATGCTTGACATTCCAAAACTCTCCTCTTCCTGAACAATCCCACTTTGTTCAGTTTAAACCCATTCCCATAGGTGAGATTTACACTGTGACAGGAAAACTGGTGCTGAGATGTGAGGATGCTCTCTGAGGTTTCCAGCACCTCCAGGATAGTCCAGAGCTCATAAGCTCTACAATTGATACAGAAGTGCTGAGAAACTGAAGAGGCTGACTGTCAACCCTCACAGGCTTCCCTGCCTATGGATGAAAGTCCAGCACTGCTGGCAGAATAACCATGTGGACAGGATTTCACATGGACACTCAGGCATTTCCTCTGGGCACAGTGGCAAAGGGAGGAAAGAGCATTTACCTTTTCTGGAACCAATTTGTTTTGCCAAGAAAAACATTTGAAAAATCATCCTGCTTTTCAAAAGCTCAATCTAGCCTGTACTCCAAATCCTACTGCAATGGATCGTTTTAGCAAAATTATTGTGGATCCCCTCCTCTCTCTGCTCTCTTCTTCTTCAGGCACTCAGAAAGAAGGAAAAATTAAACCTGTGCTGTCACCCAGGCTGCTCCCAAATCAGGAACATTCAGGGGATGGAGTGGACCTCCCTGGGTCCCAGGAAGCAGCTCTGACAGACACACTTCCTTAAAAATACCACACATTGATTTTGACAACCCTCACCTGAGTGACAGCTTCCATCACATTACTATACCAACTTAGGGCTTTTTCCCAATATATAAAGCAAAGGTGCAGCCCATTTCATTTCAGAGATCAGCATCAGCTGCAAAGTCCACCAAGCCAAATCATCTATTTCTCTCAGCAAACCAAAATCCACCTCAAGGTTGAACCTGGCGTGAGAGCTGTAACCTGAGATTCAAACCATTAATCCACCGAGCTCCTCGAGGCAGAGCTCAGCAGAGCTGTAATTTTGCTTAAGATGTCCAATAAAAAAAATACTGAACACATAAGGAGAGTGTTTTAATCTCAATTACTTTTTGGCAGGAATAAATCAAAGCCCTGTGCCCTGCTCAGCCCCATAAACATGCTTTATTTTGCTCACAGTGATTTAAAGTCAAAAGGGCTTTGCAGAATGCTGAACTAAGCTCTTGTTTTGTAAAATCAGGTCTAATTTTGAAAATGCCTTTATCCCCCTCACATTTTTCTCTCAGGGTTTTCCTAATCTTGTCGCTCTGATTCTGAGCATAACAATTAAACACACACTGTGTTTGCAGAAGCAAAAGTCATTTGGTAAAAATTTGGAAAGGGAAGGATTCTTTCCTCCTCAAAAAACAAAAAAGTACAAGAGCTTCTTATTGCTTGGCAGAGTCACTCCAAAGCTCACAAAGCTGTTGTTAAATTCTGTGCTGCCCCTGGGGTTCAACCTGCAGCTGGGTCTGTGCAGAAACATAACCCACATCTGTGAAAATCCACTGGCAGAGAAATGAAACTCCACAATGTCTTCTGAGGTTTTTTCCAGCGCATCTCCAGCATTTCAGGATCACTTTAAACATGTCTTTTTAGATATTAATAAACTTTCTTTGGTGGGGAATAAAATTTACATGGCTTCAATTCACAAATGATGGCAAAACCAGTGACAAACCCAAGACCTCCTCTGCTCTGAAAATAAACAGAAACCTTCCAAATCCTGTAAAGAGTTTTCAAAATGAAGTAACAAGGTGATAAAGGAGACTTAAAGCACTTATGCCACACCTCTAAATACCTTACAGTAGAATAAAAAATAACACAAGGCTGGACTTTGAAGACCTCCCTCAAACAACAAAAAAACCCACAATTTGTATTGTTTTAAAGCAGAAAACTTCCTGTGATAGGGAACCTGCACCTCAAATTAGAATCTACCTGAGAATATTCCTTAAGCCATTACTTGGAGAAACAATAGGGATTTTTGCACCCTTTTACTCATGTCAGCCCCTCAAGAGGTGTCTTACTTTTGTCTATCAATATTAAGAAACAGAAATAATTATACTCAACCAAAAGTCTGTATAGCCAGACTGAGGTTAATTCCTGATGCTCAGATTATCCTGAAGGAAACTTTCCCCTCAACAATTATCCATGGAACAGGTTTTCCTTTAAAGCCTGGAGTACAGCTCTGGAAGAAAATCTCTCTTCATTCTGTATTGTGACATTATTCACCAAGCCAGCACACATTAAACTTCTGATAGCCTGGGTAAATTCCGTATGCACATCAGTGCCTGTGGCATTTCACAAAAGGTCAGGCTTGTTTAATTAGCAAGATACCGAAGTGGTCTTTAAAATATTTCAAGACTTCTAAGTCCAGCTTTGATGTAAGAAATAATCATTTGCCTACCCACAATTCTTCAGCCTCTTATTTGGTCAGCAAATTATGTTACTCATTTAAAATTGGTAACCTCTTCCTCAAACTGTGTTTTTCTTGCTCTTATAAAACCCAGCATCAGCCATGTCAAGCCTGTCTGGTCAGGGCTTGGTTAGTGGCTTTGGTAACAACCTTGCTCCCTAAAATGCTGAAGGAAATTTAACAGCTCCCTGAAAGGGCTCAGGAATTCACCTGTGTTGAAAGAGTGAAAGGTCATGGTGGGAAAGAGTCTCACACTGGTGAAGTTATCACAGTTTAAAGAATTAAAAAAAAAAAAAAAAGAGAGAGAACCCCAAAGCAGCTCAGGCACTCCTCTGAAGGGAGAGAATTACCACACTGCTTTGTCCTGGCTCATCCCACCCATTATAAGCACAAAATGAAGGGCTCAGATTGGGACTGTGGTGGTTCTGTGTAGTCAGAAGTCAGCAGGAGGAGATGGATTGACTGACTGATCCCTCAAGAGCCAGAGTACAACCATGCTGGATGCTCTGCATCCACACTGGAGTGTCATTTTCTGGTTTGGGGAGTCAATGTGGGAGACAGTCCTCCTGAAGCTCAGCTGGCCAGGCTGTGCCTCTCACCAACCATCCCCAATCCTCTCTGGGCCATGCAGGGAGCAGGAATATTCCTGCTGAGTGCAAGATACCCGCTCTGGACACGAGGAGCAGAGAAATCTGAGCAGCTGAATGCAGAGGAGAGGAGGGAGTTTGGGACTGGGAGGGAAGAGGGGGTAAGAGGGTGCAAGATTTGGGGAGACACAACAGAGCTGGGCACAGGATTTGGCTGCTGGCCGTGCAAAAAGTACAAACCCAGAAGGACTCCTGCCCTCAGCTCCCACACTTGTGGAAGCAGTACTCCAGGATGGCTCCAACAAGTCAGAAACCTTTCCAAGGAGCCGTGTTCCCATGGTGCCAACAGCATGGGAAAAGGGCTGAGGAGGGGCTGGGACAACTGCCAAACCCTTTCCTGGCATTCAGGAAGGAATGGGAGGTGCTGGGGCTCTGAGGGGTCCCTGGCAGGATGGGACAGACGTACCTTGGTGCCGATGATGGAGCGCACCTCGTCGTCGGGCGAGGTGGGGGTGCCGGAGATGTCGGGGTTGCTGTTGCTGAGGCTGCGCGAGCGGTTCAGGTTGAGGCTGGCGGGGCGCACGGCCGACCTGGCCATGGTGGCGTAGTGCACTGACCCTCCCAGGCCACCAGGACCTGTGGGGACATCTGGTCAGTGGCTGTCCCTCACCCAGACCCCCTCAGGACACCCAGACTCCCTCAGGACACCCAGACCTTTCCTGCCTGGTCACTCTGGCCATCCCTCACCCAGACCCCCTCAGGACACCCAGGCCTTTCCTGCCTGGTCGGTGCGGCCATCCCTCACCCAGAACCCCTCAGGACACCCAGACTCCCTCAGGACACCCAGACCCCCCTCAGGACACCCAGAATCCTTCAGGATGCCCAGGCCTACCTGGTCAGTGCGGTCATCTGTCACTCAGACCCCCTCAGGACACCAAGGCCTTTCCTGTCTGGTCACTCTGGCCATCCCTCACCCAGACCCCTCAGGACACTCAGGACTGCCTGGTCAGTGTGGCCATCCCTCACCCAAACCCCTCAGGACACCCAGGCCTGCCTGGTCAGTGTGGCCATCCCTCACCCAAACCCCTCAGGACACCCAGACCCCTCAGGACACTCAGGACTGCCTGGTCAGTGTGGCCATCCCTCACCCAAACCCCTCAGGACACTCAGGACTGCCTGGTCAGTGTGGCCATCCCTCACCCAGACCCCTCAGGACACCCAGACCCCTCAGGACACCCAGACCCCTCAGGACACTCAGGACTGCCTGGTCAGTGTGGCCATCCCTCACCCAGACCCCTCAGGACACCCAGCCCCGCCCCAGGCCTCCCCTGCCCAGCTCTCCAGCATGGGAATAAAAAGCTGTTTTATCTTCTAGGAAGCAGGAGGCTCTCTGTGGGATTGTCTTTAGCTAATGGGATGTTTTCCAGACCTCACACTCAAAACCCACCACAGGTGGGCACAATTTTAGGTACAAAACCTTCCCAACACCTCTCAGGGCTTTCCCACTCTGTGCCTGAACATTCCTTCAAAAGCCTGGTTTTCCATGGCTGCCACCCACACTACCTCTTTCCCATCCCTTGTCCTCAGCAGGGCTGGGATTAGTTTCCCTCTTGTACCCAGACATGTGTTTTCTTGTTTTCTAGTGTTTTACACTCCTACTTTAAATATATAATGTCTATATTTTGTATGTGTACATAAAAATATAAACATTATATATATATACATACATTAAAATATGTAAAATATTCTATAAATAATAAATCAAATTAATTTAAGCTCTGTTTCTGGAATCAGCCAGACTTTGGTCATCAACAAGTCTTTGTTTAATTGATGTTTAATACCCTTTGGATATCTATTCTATCCAGCCAGTGTTTAAAATTTTGCTGGAACTGGATTAAAGTATTGAAGTTTTTATGAAGGAGACTGGGAAACATGACAGGCCAGGAGTGCATCACACCTGTCCCATAGAAAAAATCCCTAAAACCCCAGTTTTTTGCCATAATTCATGATCCTTCAGCAGTGACACTGTTACTTAAAATCATCAAATAATTAAATCTCTGACACGACTAACAGTAATTTAACACATTTTTAAGTGGCAAGCAGACACTTGGAGCTCAGGAACACCTGGCAGCAAGTGGCTTCTGCCTTCTTTTAACCAACTTGAAATAAAACAAAAAAAAAAAGGAAAGAGCTACCTGGTGATGGTGAATTGGGATAGGTGTTGGGTAGGCGAAAAACATAATAAATATAGGAGGCAAGAAGGCTGTTCCTGCCATGCTGGTCCTGGCTGCCATCCAAGTTCTTGTGAAGTCTGTTTATGATCGATGCCATCGCTTCAAAAGATGCTTGGCCCAGGTTAACTGAAAGCAAAAAATGAAGGAGCTTGGTTTAGACTGCAGCAGGACCCAGGGGAAATCCTAAATGTGCTGTAGAGGGTAAATGGTGGAGCTTCTTGGAGCCTAGCAAGCCTTTCTCATCCCAAACTGAGCCTGGTGTTTGAACCAGGTCTTCTAACCAGCCTGAGAGCAGGCCAGCTGTTCCAGTGATCAGCTGCCACTCTCATTAATAATAAATTTAATGAATTTAGGCTCCATTTCTGGAACCAGCCCAACTTTGGTCATCAGCTGCAATGGTAACAAGATCAAGTCTTTGTTTAATTGATGGATAATACCCCTTGGATATTTATCATGCTCTTCTCAGTTAATTATTTCACCTATTTAAGCCTTAGCCAAAAGACAAATTGTATCACAAGAACAATTTCATTTTATTTTGAGAAAAAAGCTGTTCTGAAAATAAACACAAAAATCTACACACAGACCGAAGCAGATATTCTAGAAGAATTAAGGTTGAAGAAAACAGTAGCTAGAGAATGAAAATCTTATTTAAAATAAATCCAGTCACTAATGTCCATAATATTCCATACAAACCAACTACACCAATACAGAGCAATGAAAGAATGAAATATTAAACTATAAAATAAAAATGCAGATAAATTCTTCCCCAGAAAGATTAAATAAATAAATGTTATAGCTAAGAAAATATTTTTACAAGTATTTTTAAAGCAGTCTTAGATCCTAATATTCCACCATGTCCAAACTCAGGTTTCCTACAAAAAAAATCAGCAAAAACTGCTGTTTAAAATACTAAGGATCTAATCCTGACTTAAACTTGAGATTTTTCGTACTCTCAGAGCTTAGCCCTTCTCAGGGAGCAAAATAAGGGATTATTCATGCTGGCAGTACTGGATCCACAACAGGAACATGCAGCATCTGTATTTCCCTACTTTATCTACTTCCAGATTTTCCAAGGTGACTAATAAAGTTGAAATCCCTACTTTCTGTCAGGATGGAGACACCTTAACAAGCTCCAGTGGTCAAAACATGCTGAGCACCCAGGAAAATCAGGCTCTTTTCTGGTGGCTCAATTTGAAAACCAAATTCCCAGTCCTTCTTAGAAGCTTTCTATTAAATATTGCTCCTGTGTATATCATCCCAGATCTGGATGCCAGCATGTTTTATTTGGGAGACACTTGGTATATTAGTGGCACTAAAATAAAGCATAAAAATGGACTTTTTTACTTCTACATAAATATGATAAAATTGGAAATGTCACACTTTCAGCTATGTAATTCTCTATAAAACTTAAATAAAATACCTATTTGGCCTGCAATGACAGGAGGTCTTACTACCAGAAGGATCAGTTTGTCAAGCAGGAGATGAAGAAATCGCACTACCGGCTCCAGTTGAGAGGAATTTAAAGCTGAAATGCTGCTCTTCAGTTCATTTTCCAAGTTGTTTTCCATAATTCTCATGTCTCCTATTCGCACAGGGAACATGTGCTCATCCAGAGCATGGACAAGTGCAAAGAACTTGTCGAGGTAAGGGTCCTACAACAAGCAAAAAGCCAATAATCAGCAAGAATCTCCAAAATATTTTCATTTCCTATGGATCTGTGTCTCATGGATGGGTTCTCGCCCTCATTTTTCTATCTGGCCATTGAATCTCACAAAATTAGCAGAAATTCAGTATCTTTGAGAGATCTGTCCGTATTTAATTCTAATTCTAGTTTAAAAGTTATCAAGGTAAAATCAGAGGACCCACAGATTGTGTATTCTGAGAAAAAACAGAAAAAAATGCACTAAAATCACATTACTATTTACAGCACAAATAAAACACGCAAAAGTCATCAAAATGACACAGTGGGAATTAATAAAACAAAAGCTGAAATGATTAAACAACATTTTTGTCATCTTTATTTACAAATCAAAGACAGAGGGAAAATACAGGGAGAAACAAAAGAGGAGAAGGGGAAAGGGAAGAACAAGAAAACAAGAACAAGAAAACATCCTTTGCCTGGGCTGTGTTGGAGCTGTTGTATCAAACACAACAGGCTGAGGTCTGAGAACACTGTTGGCCATTCACCCCCTGTGAATAAAGGCCAAACCACTCATATTTTTAAGCATAACTTCTTAAATATACCCTCAACAGAATGTGGAAAAACAGGTGTGCTGGCTCAGAACTAAAAATGAGATTGTAATTTCACTACAAGGGATTGTTACACCCTTCACAGCATCAACTCTGACAGTGTTTCAGCTGTCAGAAGATGACTTAATTCCAGTGACTGCTCTCAGCACCTACCTGAGTGTGGAGGGATGACACAGCAACAACTTCCACGTTGAAAACCCCTTTGTGGTTATCCACCCACTTCATCCCAGGGAGAGGAACCTGCAGGTTGAGGGAAGAATGAGAGAGGGTGTGACAGAGAGTTTAGGGTCTGCTAATTACAATTTCATTTATTTTGGTCAGATCACACACACACACACATAGCCACAAACAAGCACTGAAATTCTGTCTAAATTTAACAGTATTTAAGGAATAAATAAATGTACACACACACAGGTAGGTACACATACATCCTCTCATTTTTTCTCAGGTGTATTCTGCTGGTTTCCAGCAGACAGAACTCAGCTCACCTCTGGAGAAAGCACTGAATAAGCCTGTGGTGGCTTTTCCAATGACACAGGAAGACAGAACTGACCCGTCTTTAACCGGCCATTCTGAAGCATCGGGATCCACTGGAAAGAGAAGAAAACAACAAAAGCACACATTTCTTAAGGTCTTCTCTGAGCTTTTGCCAATTTCTCAAGCTCTCCAATGGGATATGAGTTCACAGGGACGCTAAACAAAGAGCCAGAAATTCATTTGATTGAATCCCATGCTGAAAAATATAAGAATGGAAATACACTCACAGTGTAGCCAACTGGGGTCTCCAGGGGTGTGTTTTGTTTTTGTTGGCAACTGACGTGGTAGAAAGTAAAAAGCAGGTGGTGGTGGTCTGTCAAAGTGGCTGGAAGCTTAATCTTGATTTCCTCGTGAAAATCAGGAGATCTGTGTAGAGAGCAGAGCCTCAGCTGAGTCACCCACAGTGGTTGGTTACCTTGTGCTTGAGATTGAACCCTCTGAGTTAAAGGATCTGCAGAAAAGGGAGCATATGGGCCATCCCAAGGGATTAAAGTTCCCTTTATGATCACCATGGACTGGAAAAACTTCTGATCCACAAAAAAATGGGCAGCAGCCTCGTCCTCGTCACACAGGCACTCAGAACCACATGAGTGATTAACTCTCATCTCAACGTGGACACTGCCACAACCCCGACCTGCAGGACAGGAATCTCCCCTGGAACATCTCTCCCTGGAACAGCTGCAAAGCCAGGAAAATGCTCCTGCTGGATTCAGCACTTCTCACCCCAGCTGCAATGGAATTATTTTCAAGACCAAGGAGTTCCAACTTGTACCTAATGCCTAAAAGGCTCCAAGACAACAATGGGGGCACCTGCTACTTTGAGTTTGGAAGATAAATCTTCATGACTACTGACTGGAGTTGTACTTGGAGCATCTGCTGAGCTGGGCTACGTGCTGAGGACCACACAAAGCTGATTTGTACCACAGCAAACAAAGACTCTGTCTCCCACTTGTCACAAAACTCTAAGGACAGCATCAACTGGCACTGCAGTCACTGTGAGTGCTATTCAGATGCTGATTGTTAACTAATTAACACCAGTCACTGGTGAGTAACTGCACCTCCACACTGTGTTTTACCTGTTGTGATACACCACAGCAGTGTATGCTTCTTTGGAAAACTCAGGACAGCTGGATTTGCCAAAGATGACCTGCAAAAAGAAGGAAAAAGCACAGAAAGCCCCCTATAAAACTGTGCCAGAAATCTGTTCCATCATCCTGCAGAGACATTTAGAGCTCCATTTATTGTGCACCTGTACAGTTAGACCTGCTTGTTGCCTGCCCCTTCACTTAGAGGCAGCACTTCACTCAGTCACTGAAAAGGCACGACTTAAACAACTCCAGTGACACGTGGACACAGACATGGCATAAGAACTGATGGACGGAACCACCCCTGAACAGATCCTCTCTGAGTGGGGATCACTGCTGGCCCTGAACAAAGCTGTCACCTTTAATTATTTTGTCATGGAAGCAAAGCTTCTATTCCAACCATGAGCAGCGTCTGCTGCAAACACAGAATCCCAGAATGGTTGGAAAGGAATTTAAATCCCATCTTTGGAATGAGACAGGGACACCTTCCACTATCCCAGGTTGTTCCAAGCACCATTCAATCTGGCCTTGGACACTTCCAGGGATGGAGAATTTCTCTGGGCAACCTCTGCCAGGGCCTCACCACCCTTACATTCAATAATCTCATGTTAAAATTAACATTAAATGAATGTTAACGTGCTCCACTGTTACCTTGCAAACTCTACACAACTGCACTCTTTGCTCTGAAATATAATTTTCTATTCCTCTGAACTTGTTATTTTGAAATCCATTTCAGTGAGGTTTAACACAGGGGTTTCCTGACTGCAAGGAGTGCTCTGCCCTTCCCACAGAGCACAAAGAGGTCCCCTCACCGGCATGGCATTGCTGGGATCCTCTCCATACATGAACTGCACTTTCACTGTGATGTTCCTGGCAGATCCCTGGCGGTTGGCGAAGTTAAGGCTCTGTGGATACACATAAAGGAGGTTCCTGCAAGAAACAAAGGCAGCAGGTGATGAGAGGGGTCACACCTTCATTAATGCTGTTATTTAAACCTCTGTGGAAATGCTCAAAGGGAAGGGTTTGACATTTTCCATTCTCTCAGATGCAGTGCACACCCAGACAAACAATTTGTCTTTGGTAATGACCTCTTATTTCAGACATCATTTTTAAACTCTTATCATATTTTGAAACAGTTCTTGTTTAGAAGGATACTGGAAAAATCCATCTAAAAATTTCCCAGTGATTCTACAATCTGAGAAGTTCAAGTGGAAAGAAAATATATGAATACAAAAGCTTTATTTTCTTTTACTTTATATTTTGCTCAACACACAGCAGCTGGTTTCTGTTAAATACCTTCCTTCTTGTGGCCTGTCCTTTTTCTTTTTTTTCTTTTCTTTTTTAAATCTCCTGACATCAGGATGACTTCAGGTTACATTTCTCCTCTGAGAATGGATTAAACAAAATTGATATGTGTAGCTTCAGGTAATGACAACACTCATAGGTATCCAAAGAACTGTTTCAAAGTCTGAAGTAATAAAGTGCTCATCACATCCACAGGAAATGTGGCAGGACGTAATGGGAGGAAATTGCAGCACAGGAGATTTAGGTGAGGCACAGGGGAAAATGTTCTGGCTGTAAGGAGAGGTAAAGCAGTAGAACAAATTGCCTTGGAGAGTGTGAAACCTCCATTTTCTGGTGGTTTCTCAGAACAGGTGAGGCAGACACTCTCCAGATGGGTTTAAAGACAACCTGAACCCTCACTGGGCAGGGGTCACATTCTGGAAACCCCTTCCAATCCTGTTTCTCCAAGTCTGGCATTACTTTAACAGCCATGAGAGATGCAAAATTCTGCAATATTTTCTGTTCTCTGAGCCCTGCTGGGCCCTTGCCAACAAGGTGAAAGCAGGATTCACCCTTTATCAGCAAAACTGTCCACTACAAACCCCTACCTGTCCTTTGTGCAGTAATTTAAACCAACACAAAGTTCCTTGATGTTCTTTTAAAGACAAAAAAAAAGCGACATCCCCCACAGACATTTCCACCTCAACACTCAGTTATTCAAAGGAAACAAACACTCTTTTGCTGCCAAACAAGTCTAAATGTTTGAATTATTACACAACTTTAAAAAACCAGCCTGGAAATCTCCAATCCATCTCCGACACGGCCCTGCCTGCACTAGCACATTCCTCCTTGGCCAGCCTGGCCCCTGCAGCTCCCACCAGGGGATCCAGGAGGGATGATTACATGGAAGCTCCATGGATTCATAGATGATCACAGTGAGGGCTTCAAGTGCTGCCTCCAGCTCCCAGGGATAAAGGACTGGCACGGTGCATTCTGCTCAAACACTGCAGAACCAACCCTCTAACACCCCTGGTTTGTGAGGCAAGAGGAAAAAGAGGTTCCCTTCCCTCTGGGAACTATTCCATGGGTCTGAACACAATTTGTAAGTAATTTCCAACTGTTCCTTGTCCCAGAGAGACAACAGATGCCAGATGGGCTGAGAAAAGTGAAGTGAGGAGCACAGCAGGACAACATTTAAGGTGTAATAAAGCAGCTGCTGTCGAGTGCTGGCAGCAGGAGGCTGATAACAAAAAGACTCTTTTTTGGATTCTCAGGAGGGCAGTAACTCAGGGAAGGTTCCTGGTGCCTTTTAGATGCCAGGAGTTTCCAAAACACCTGCACTGGTGGGACACACTCCTGGAGGAGCAGCTGCAAAAGGAGGCTGCCCTTGGCTGCCTGAAATGGCACTAAAGACAATCTTTTAGCCAATGAATCCCACCCAAGGACTTGGTTCTGATGGCAATTCCATTTGCTCCCCAAACAGTCCCACCTACACAGACACAGCTAATGCTGATCCTAAGGAATTCCCTAAGAGCAGTCTAGCTCCAGGGATATTTGGGACAGCCTTATGAACCAGGCTCTGCTTCACCCCTGCAGGCAGAGGAATAAGCTTAGCAGTCAAGTGGGAATTTCTTCCCTCTCAAGTCCTTCATGGTGAATTAAGTTTTTGAATCCCATCCCCACTGGTCACTTTGCCAAATCAACGCTCTCCTACTATTTCAGAAGGGGCCAGGGCCATTTTTGTGACTCTCCTAAATTACTTTGTTCTGCCATGAATACATTTGCTGCTTGATGTTCTTTTTAAAATGAAAATGGATATGAAAATTTACTCTAAAATGTACCTTGCTCATAAAACTTTTATTAAGTATTATTAGTGCTTAAGAGAAGGATTTAAGGTATTTGTGAAGCCAGGCTACAGGATCCCTTATATTAAAGGTAGTCTTATGCAAAGGAGTGATTGATGCTGAGGAAAGGGACAGGTTGTTCCCCCCTCCACTGCTTTTCAAGCCTTCATTAAGGGCATTTCACTGGGAAGAAGCTCATGGTGCTTTTGGGATTTCAGATGGGAATAGGGGAAAGGGGGATGTTCCTCCTGTTCAGGCAGCCTCTCTCCAGAGGGTTTCCTATTACAGGCATCTTCCCTTTGTGGAAAACTTACATGGAAGGAGGGGGAGAAATGCCCAGCTTGCAAATCAGAATGTGACCCCAAATGGAAAAATCCTGCTTTACCTGATCACAGAATCCCAGACGGGTTGGGGTTGGAAGGGGTGTAAAGATCACCTCATTCCACCCCTTGCCATGTCCAGGGACACGTTCCACTGTCCCAGACTGCTCCAAACCCTGTCCAACCTGTCCTTGGACACTCTCTGGAACGGGGCAGCCACAGCTTCTCTAGACAAACTGTGCCAGGGCCTTGCCACCCACACAGAAATTAATTTATTCCAAATACCTAATCTAATCTAAATCTACTTTCTTTCAGGTTAAAACCGTCACCTCTTGCCCTGTCACTCCAGGCCATTGTCCCAAGTCCCTCTCCAGCTCTCCTGGAGCCCCTTTAGGTACTGGAAAGGGCTCTGAGGTCTCCCCAGAGCCTTCTCTTCTCCATCCCCAGCTCTCCCAGCCTCTCTTCTACCCTAAACCTACATAACTAAAAACCTCAGATCTTCCTGTCTAAACACAGTTCTGGAGCCATGGAAAGGGACTGATGGCTGCAAAAGTGACAGGAACATTATAAATGTCCTGATTTCTATCAATAAAAGTATCAGGCAAGAGCTTTAAACCCAAGGGCTTGTGTTTGGAGCTTTCATTAAAATGCTACAACAAATATATGCAAAGCTTATCCTGTTATCTCAAACAGATCTCAAAAGTACTTTTACTTCCATAAAATAAATTGCTAAAGTGCAAAGGCTTCCCAAGCCATGGAAATAATGGCACCAGGCACTCCTCTAAATATTTATGTAATATCATTGCAGCCATTTTGCAAAATCCTTCACACAGGTATTAAAACATTAAGAGCTGCTCCTATCTCTTAGAGGGAATTTCTAACCATCATGAAGATTTCCCTTTTCAGTAAAACACAGAGACCTCTTTCTTTGCTTTATTCCCACTATAAAAATCATTTAAATCTCATAATCAGGGTCACCCAGGTGTATGAAAGATCTTCAGGATCATGTTTGTTATATACATCTTTTCCTGACTGGGCTGACAACTCTCAGAGGCAGGATTCCCTCTTAGGGTTTCCACAGCTCCTGATTTTATGGTTTAGTCATGCCAGAAGCTTTTCTCCTCTCTGCTTTCCTGTGTCCCACTTTTCTTCTGGACTGTGGGACTGCTGTGACATTTAGGGGTGCTCTGTAGTGAGTTTAGCACTGCCTGACTTCCCTGGCCTTGGCATTAATATGGAAACATGCTTGGCAGATAATTAGTGCTTTATTAATGTTTGACATCAGGGCCTTTTGGCTGCCTTTTCCCTTTGGAAGACAAACCTTTTCCATAGGTAGTGTCGTGCCTGAGCAGCACCAGCAGCACATGGGACACAGGTTGTAGAAACCTGGGACAGTGTCTGATCCCCAGCTGTTTGGTCATTGCTATTTCTTGAGGAACTCCCCATATTTTTCTAAAGACTAAGCCAAGAAGAACAATTTTTGGAAGGGGATGGGATTAGGAAGAATTCAAAATAAACCAGAATGATTTCTTGTATGAAATAGTTAAAAAAGAAAATGGTTCATTTGAAACCACATAAAACCAAAGCCACTTAAGCACTGTGAAGTGGATTGAGGAATGTCTATGCATTTGCTTGGGTTGTTTTTTATTTAATTTTAAAACCAGTGCTTCAAGTTTTGCAGCCCAAAATCCTTGTGTCAGATGCCAGAGAAACAATTCAGAATTGTTTTTTTGAAGGAATCCCTGTTCTGACCAGAGCTGGGCCTGATCATCTCCCTGCTTCTGCTGTTTTTCCATACTTCAGGTACTGCAGTATCTCTGATCCCAATCATACTGGCACAAAATATTCCCCAGCAATTCATCTGAGACCTAAAACACTTTCACAGTATTTAACTGTGAATGGGAAGGTTACCTGCATATTACCAACCCCCAAGCACACAAAAAGTTCAACATATGATGTAAAAATCTAACTTTTTAAACATTTTTTTCTATAGATGTTTCATATCATATGCGCATATGTACATGAACAACACAACAAAAAATCCAGGGGAAGAATTCCTAACCATACAAGAATTTAGCAAAAACCTGAAAACTCTCCAAATTACATTGTGCAATGCTTGATTTTGATTTCTTGGATTGCTATGAATGAGTCCAGAAAGAGAAACATCTTTCACTCACACTGCAATACCCAAAAAAACCCCATGTTTCCATGCAGAGACCCACTGCAGAACTGGGCATTTATTTCAGAGCACTTGCAGCCTTTCTTTATGCAGTGTGAATCTTAAACAGCAAAAAGAACGGTAAGGTGAGAAATGCAAGCGAGGTATTATTTATCTCACCCACCTCTGCAAAGCAGCTCTTAAAAAATAAGTTTTATATGGTGTAAATTACTGCACAAACCTTAACACAGTAGAATCACATCCAGGCAATCTCTGGACCTAATTCCCTCTTTCTCACTTAATCTGGGCTCGATGACAAGTAAA